AGAGGAAATGGCACCAAGCTGAGGCCCACCCAGGGCCTAGACAACCGGTCTCACAGCATAGGTGGATACCTCACTAACCCCACTTGGATAAACATTCACAAAGCTGGAGGAGAAAACACAGGCTTCTCTTGTTCAGAATCAGAAAGGGAGAAACTCCTGACAATTTGTCAGAGAAAGACCCCGTCTGGGTTGCCTGAATCTTCAGCAAAGAGGTCGGGGGCAGGAAGGAGAGCAGAGGCTCGCTTATGCCCTCATGCCGGGTCTTCTTCCCCACTGGGCAGCAACCTCGAAGGCGAAAGGGCAAAACTGATTCACCTTGTCAGCCTGGAAAGCAGCCCCAGTCACTGGCTTCCCACTTAGAGAACGCTTCATGTAATGACAGAGCTGCGAGTCACAAGTGTGACTAAACGAGGACCACCTGTGAGTTCTAATGCAAGACTCAGCCTGCCTATCACAGCTCAGGGGGCCTTGCTGCCCCCACCAAGACAGCTCTTAAGCTCACCAAGGGCTCCTCTCCGTACCTTCTGTCCGGCTCATGGTCTCCAGCAGAATGTTATATTCGTGGACTTTCTCTTTGTGGTGCTGAAATTCCCTCCACAGCTTCTCCAGTTCCTCATCTGAGAACTTCCCGGAGCTTTTGGCCTTGAAGGGAGATCCAAGGGAAAAACAGAACGGTCACTCCCGCATTGCTAAAAAAAAAAAAAGGTCTCTCCCTGCTCGGTGGAATAATCGCTTCCGAAAATTATTCCATAGGATATTGAGAGATACATTTTCTGGGGGAATCTAACATTAGTTGTTTAATATTTTAGTGTCCATTAATATTAAAGTTAAATATTAACATTAATACTTTAATCTTTAAATTTTGCTACTGGGCCTCACTCCCGCCCCTAATTGCAACGGAAGGAGCTGCTGGGGAAGGCATTCCTCAAGGGCCAACAGGAGGCAATATTCCAGCAGCAGGCAGCCCAACTGGGTCTCGCAGGCAAGATCGACTCCCACTAGCCCAGGGGTAGGCAACCTTGTCTCTTTTATGATTCGTGGACTTCAATTCCCAGAATTCCTGAGCCAGCTATGCACTAGCCCCATGGCCGGAGTCCCTGCGGCACACAAAGGACAGGAAGTGCCAGGACCGGGAACAGGCAGCCAATCTCTACCAAACGGACCTTTGGGGAGCATAAAACTGGGGTGTATGTGTGTGTGTGTGTGGGGGGAGGAAGGAAAGAGTATCCTTGTAGTACTATAAGCTCCTAAAAAAAGGAGGACTTAATATCCCACCCAACCAGGTTTTAGAGTGGAAAAGGGGTGGGAACGTATGATCTTTCTTCTCCCTGCTATGCAACTGGGTGTCTAGTCCCCTCACTTATGACTTTTTAGAATTCCCACTTTTAGGGAAATAGAAAGGAAAACTCTGAATCAATTAAAATCGAAAGCCCTCCTCTAAGCTCCTCCACTCCCCCCCACTCCCACCCCCACTTTGTGGCTCGACAGACAGACCTTGTTCCAGAGTTTCTCCAGCCGGGGGTCGTCCAAGTCATCCTTCGCAAAGCCTTCCTTGATGTGGTTGGTCTCCCACTGCTGCCTCTCCTTCTTCCCACTCAAGCCGTATTTGGTCATAATTACTGGAGGGATCAAAAGAAGAACAAGGTGGTGATTTTGGCACAGGTCACAAGCATTTAATTTCATGGTTTTGCGAAACTGGGTGTGAGCAGCCACCAAACCCGGAGTAGGCAACCTTGGCTCTTTTATGACTCATGGACTTCAACTCCCAGAATTCCTGAGCCAGCATGGCTCGGCATGGAAACCTCTCCCTTTCCCCTCAGCATGGCTGGCTCAGGAATTCTGGGAGTTGAAGTCCACGAGTCATAAAAGAGCCAAGGTTGCCTACCCCTGCACTAGACCATTTAGGGATGTCAGGAGGATCTAGTGCTTTCTGTATTTTGGGAAATTCCACTCAACCAACCATAGAGTGGACTGACCTTTAATCTGAGTCAGCAAAACAACATGCATATTTTTGACAAAAAAATGCACATTCAGGACCATTTTAGTCAGACATTAATTGCTACAATTGTTTGCTGCCACCTCACGCTTGCTTGCGCTTCACTCCCCTAGATGGCAGTCTGCCATGGACTCAATGGATGGGAGGGGGGATGCTTGGGAGAAAGCAAAAGTACCTGCTGTGTCTCCCCAAGACCCTGCTTCAAGGTTACTTGGCTGAGAGAAGAAGGCAGCTGCATATCAACCTAGACTTGGAGTGAGTGTTGTGAAAACATCTTGCTTCATCCAGATTTGGGGGGGTGAGGGGAACAGCTATGGGAGGCAGTTAAGGGAGTGAAAAGTTGAACTTAGGGGTTTTGGCACGTGATCCTCAGTTCTGGCTATACATTAGACTTCTATTAAACTATATCTTTCTCAACAAATGGAGCCAAGGATCGTTTCTAATGTTTAAGTTGTGGCAGGTCTGACAACAATTAATGATCAACAGGTTCATGCTTTAAAAAAAAATGCTGTCATGTATATACTTCTGAATTACTGCTTGATTTTCTTAGCTCTCTGACCTTCAGCACCCTATGTCTAATCATGAAAAATAGTGCATAACGGTAGTTCAAACACTGGAAACTACTAAGAGAAGACTTCATCCCTGTGCCATCTCTTACTCTTGGTTTTTTTGTATAATTTTAAATGTTTTACATACTTGCAATATTTTCATTATTTATATACTTGCTTTTTTATACTTTGTAAGCCGCTCAGAGTCACCTTACAGGGGATATGGGCGGCATAAAAATTTAAACAATAAGTAATAAAATAGAGCTGCCATACAATGTATGTATCTCATAAAGTATCTTGAGAAGGAGGAAGATAGAAACTCTGAATATACAGGCAAGGGCTGATTTGGGGAGCCAGCCCAGCTGTGCCCCAAGACGTGAAAAGCTCTGATGATTAAGAGAAAGGCTTATTCAAACATGTGTCCCAGAGCTGGGAACAGCCCAAAGCATCCGTGATATGACTGAATTTAAAAATCTCCCAGCAGGATGAAGCTGGCTTTGAAACCTGGAAGTGCCAGATAGGAAAAGGCAAGATGGAGAATTCTGCCCCTGAAAAAGGATTCAGGCCTTTGGATGGGTCGGGACTCAAGACAAACCACCTTTCAACCCGCTCAGTACATTCTACTAACACAGTTAACATGTAACTAAGTCGTCATACCCATTAACTACCCTGGAGTTAATATATTAATGCTGGTAATGTATTAACTGGAAGATGCAGCCCGCCTCACAGGAAATAGCAATGATAACCAAACAACTAATAAGTAAATAAATGACCCAGGATTCTCTTTATCCCGGGTGAATCTGATTTTACTTGGCATCCTGCACTCTGTCCTGAACCCCCTTTTCCTCTGCAAGAGCAGCTTGCCCAGCAAAGGGGAGGGAAACGGGGGGGCAAGGGAGGGGCGGGCAAAGAGGGGAGCGGGGGGGAGGGGAAAGCAGCGTCAGAAACGAGGCTGGGGGCTCCCCTTCCCCCTTCCGAGCCTCCGGGGCAGCCGACCCCTCCTCACCCTCCAGGCGGCGCCTCAGGCGGGCCTCCCGCTCCCCGTCTTCGTCCAGCCCGGCTGCCTTCTGCTTCTTCCAGCTCAGCTCGTCCTTCTCCTGCAGCCGCAGGTCGCTGTGTAGCTCGGCCAGGCGCACCGCCGGCAGCCCCACCTGCGGGGGGGGGGGGGAGAGACGGAGGGATGAGGAGGCCGCCCAACCCGCCCGTCGCCTCGCCTGGCCTCAGCCCCGGGCCCGCCACACTCACGCGCTGCGCCTTCTCCCACAGCTGGTTCAGGCGCACCAGGCGGAACTCGGCGGGCGGCGCGGCGGAAGCAGCGGCGGCGGCGGCCTGGTTGGCTTCCCGCGAGTACAGCCCGCCGCCCGCCTCCGCCCCCGCCAGCAGCACCACCAGCAGAAGCATCGCAGCCACCATGGCGCTCCTCGGACTACGGACTACGGTTCCCAGCAGGCGCCTCGCTCGCTCGCTCGCTCTCTCGGGAGCGCCGCTGGAACAAGCTCCGCCCCTGCGTCTGGGCGGGGCCTCGGCGGTGCGCCACTTCCGGAAGGGCCGAGCGAGCCGGCGCCCGTTCTTCCGGTGGGGGAGGGTCTGCCACGCCTCCTTCGAGCGGCTGTGTCCCCGCAGAGGAGGCCCGGCCAGGCAGCGACGCCGCCGCGAGCGGGGAAGGGAGGGGGCGGGATCCCGGAAAGGCGCCGCCCCCTTTGTGAGAAGCGCCCTTATAGAGAATCCAAGTCGGCCTGGTAGTTAGGGAGGCCGCGGAAGGGAGTGGGCGAAGCGGAGGGCCGGGTCGGTGGGCGAACCTGCTCCGCTTCCCGTGGTCCCCGTGCCCGAAAGGCCGGGGGTCGCGTCTTGGAAACCCCTGCGGCAAGCCCGGTTGGGGGTGGCTGGGCGGGCTGGGCCGGGCTGCCTTGCCTGTCCCGCGTGGAAGCCGCTGTGGAAGGGCCGCGGCTTTGGGCGCTGCGGAGGGCAGCGCGGAGAGCAAATAAATCGACTCTGAAGTCCCCCGAGGCGCCTCCCCGGAATTTCGGGCTGGAGACGATGTCCCGTCGCCCAGATCGGGCGCAGCGGCCTCGGACTGCTCTCCCCATCAGCCGCAGCCGGCGCAGCCGGCCGCCCTGGTGGAAGCGGGATGTCTCCCGCGATACCCGCCCCTCATCCAGAGGCTGCCCGGTTCTGCCCCTCCGCTCGAGGGCGCCGGGACCCTCTATCCCAGTGGTTCTCAACCTGTGGGTCGGGACCCCATTTGGGGTCGAATGACCATTTCACGGGGGTCGCCAAACCATGCTGTCTGCCATTTTTTTCCCTTTTCCCTAGCTATCCTACTCCCTCTTATTGATGGCCACACCCACTTGGGGGTCACCACAACATGGGGAACTGTATTATGGGGTCACGGTATTAGAAAGGTTGAGAACCACTGCTCTATCCCAAAACGCGAGTGGAGTCGGAGCAAAAAGACATTTGATGTGCATTTCAATTTAATTCAAATTAAATACAGCGAGTGTAAGTTTTCTCTCGTGTATTGGCTAACTTTCTTCTTCCTACATTAAAAATGAAGATTTGCTGGCACCTTTTGGTGGGCCTCTGGGACCCCCTCTGCCCCGGAGCCCCTCTTTTGTAGAGTCCTTTCTAGGCCGAGGAGGATCAAGCACCCTGGTTTCCGGCCTTCGCTGACCCCTAGGGGAGGCGCCTTCCCAGCCCCTCCCTGTGGGGCTCCAGGGGAAGAGAAGCCACAGTTAATACTGGACGTGGCCCTTTTGTCCCCCTGCAGCAGCGTGAAGGCCTGGAAAAGTTGCCAAGCCTGGAACTTGGTGGTCCCCTGCCCAGATAAAGACTGGCCAGCCTAGAAGTCTCCTCCCGCTCCAGGCAGTCGGAGCTGGTTTCTTGGAGGGAAGTGTCAGGTTTGGCTGGGAGGTGGGAAAAGGAGAGTGCCCAGGAGACATTTCAGGTGTGGGCAGGAGCTGGCTAGCCCAACATCTGGATCTCAGTGAGTAGGGCGGCTCTCCGCAGGTCAGGGATGGTCTCTGGGGAAATCTCGCCCTCTGCATATCTGTCTCGAGAGCAGATGCTGGCTCAACATGTCTGAAGCGAGGAACTTTATCAGGGCCTCCTGGGCCCCAGCCCAGCCAAAAATCAGAGGTGCTGATGTTCTTTTGGCCGGAGTGCATGATGGGTTTCCCCTGCCATCTGGAATGGAGACACTGTTCCCCACACGCAGGCAGGCAGGGGGCCACTGGCAGCAGCCTAGTCTTCCTCTGTGGATTTGGCCAGACTAGGCAGGGCTTGGGCTTCCCTATCTAGCTCTGCAGGCCACCCCAGACTTCTGAAGCTGGAAGCAGCAGCTGCTTTGCTCCAGTTGATTATTCCTTCCCCTCTGAGGATGCGAAGGCCTTCAGCTTGCAGGAGTGGAGGGCTGTCCCGCCTCCCTCCAGAAATGATCTTGCAGTGCAGTGTGTGCATATGGGGGATGGGGAAGCAGAAGGGAAGGGTGTTGTGGGGGAGCCTCGTGATCTGGGAGGAAGACTCTTCTCCATCATCCCTGGGCAGGTAGGCACATGACAGTCTCCCCTCCCCCGGCCACTGGAGGTCCTTGGGCCGAGGGGGAGTGTTTCATGGTTGGCACAGAGGCTAAAGCAAGAGTGGTCCGGCTGGGGGGTTCTGCATCCTGGCCGCCCGTCTGTCTAAAGTCCCCCAGGCCGCTGCTCTGCATCAGCTGGTGCAGACGCTGGTGATGGAGACACCAGTGCCAGCAGTGCCGGGGTCCACCAGGCCGAGCTCCTCCTGCTCATTGATGCAGAGCTGGTAGCCGCAACCCTTCCGGCGAGGCAGGGGTCCCGCCAGCCTGGATGCCTCCGCCTTGGACCGAGGTGGCAGTAAGAAGCCCACGCTGCCGGCGATCAGCATGTGCCAGATGCTGTGGATGTAGAAGTAGTTCTCCTCCGTCTCCACGAAAGCATAGAGCAGCACGGCTGAGGCGGCAATCAGGGCCCCGGGCAGCAGGTAGAAGGTCCAGCGCTGCCACGTGGGAGGGTAGCAATGGCGCCGGTGGATGCTGCGAACCGTCTGCAGGGGGAAGAAGGTGGCAGCCAGTCCAGGAGGCAGCCTGGCTGAGGAGTGGCTGCTCATGCCCCTCAGCCATTTTGGGGAGCTCCGGCCACCCCTGGCTTGACGTCCCCTTGGTGCTCCCTGCCATAGGAGCCTGGCCAGAATACTTGCTGGAAAGCAAGTCTTCCCACCCCTCACCCCCAGGTTTGGGGGACCAGGTATGGGAGGCACAGGTGCCCTGTGCTCAGCCCCTCTTTCCTGCAGAACAAGGAAGGAGCTGTCCCCCAGAAGCCAGGCTGCCTCTTGAAGGGGCTCTCCGATTCACTGGACATGTTTTGAGGCCCTTGCTGGGCATCCAAAGGTCTTTCCATCTGGAAGCACCACAACAAGGCTGGGCAGTTGAGCCTCTGGCCCAAGCCGCCCAGCCGGGGCCTCAGGGTAGGAGAGGGAGTCAAAGGTCCAAGGTCCTTACCCAAGCAATGGCCATGACACCCACAGCGAAGAGGCTGGGCCCCAGCAGGTTCCAGAGGCCGTGCCGGTCCAGTTGCAGGGCCATGGAGAGGAGCATGGCTCCCAGCAGGTACAGCACCTGCTCGGGCGAAGCACAGTGAGTTCCTCATGGGGGGAAGGGTCAGTCTTTTGGGTCAAAGGCCACAGGACAGCCAGGCAGAGTGGTCCCTGTAGTCTGCCTGTTCTGGCCTCCTGTGCCCTCTCTTCACCAGCTGTCCCCAATCAGCCTTCTCCCCAGCCCTCCCTGCAGCAGAAGAGTTAGCCCAGCAAGCCAGCCCTGAGCCCCACAAGTGGCTGGCAGCAGCACCCCTGGATCTTCTCTGGGGCTACCTTGCCGGTATGCCAGGCTCACCGCTCCTCCTCACCTGCCTGAGCCTTAATGGATGCTGGGGCTCTGCTGAGCCTTCAGGAAGGGGAGGAGGGCCACACAGCACTCTGATCCTGGGTGAAGGTGGGGTCTATTCCCCACAACAGCGCAGGGAGAGGGGGATCCCCCAGTGCATTCATTTACTCTCGGGCGGGGAAAGGGGGGAGTCAAAGTTGAGGTGGCAATTTCTTGCCTTTCCTACGTGACCCAGGGCGGCATCCCTAGGATCCCTCTTTCCTGTACAACAACCCTGCGAGGGAGGCTGATCTGATAGGGCCTTGTTGAACCTTTCTAGGAAGCAGTCTCTGGCCTCCCTGCATGCCCCTGGGTAGCCCTGCCACCCTGATGCTTTGCTGAGCTGGTCCCTATTTCCACGGGTGAGACATCGTCCTGCAGGGCGTTGTGTAGCTTTTGTTATGTTCTCTGCCCAGAATCTGCCAGGATTGGGCTGGGATACACCTGTGGGGAGGAGTCAGGGGTTGCTGCCGCCCCAGACTCTTTCTGGCTCCTGCCTCCCCTGCCCAGGGCTCAGTAGTGCACTGCCAGCTCAACTCCTAGGGCCCGCCTTTTTCCAGCCTGGAGTCCCAGCTGCTTCTTTCAGTAGCCCTGCACCCTTCTCTCTACCTGTTTGATGACAGGCTGTAGGCGGGCCATGGCAATGACGGTGACCCAGACAGACATAAGGGAGCCCAAGAAGTCGCAGAACTGCAGCACGTCATAGTCCATGATGCAGAAGACCACGATGCCCGGCTGATCACATGCATGGTAGAACTGGCAGAGACAGAAGGGATCACTCCATCAGGAGGAGCACTGATAGCTTGCCCCACCTGGGCCAACCCTTCCAGCAGCCTGGCTTCCCCTCCTTGCCCTGCAACTTGGCCAGGTGGTCTAGCCCTTGGTGGCTCCCTTCTGGGCGAGACCCCCTTAGACTACATTAAGCAGGAGGCTCGGGGAGGGGCTGAGGCCTTGCAAGAGAGTCTGGCTTCTTCTTCAGTGACCCCCTGGATCTTGGGCCAGGGGGAGGGAGGGAAGGTAGACCCTCCCCAGGACTCAGAGTTGCACCTTTTCTGGTGTGCTGGGCAGCCGGACCAGCCATTGTGGCTGTTGTGGGGTGGAGGGGTGCTGGGGAGACTTTTCACTTTGCCAGGAACAGTCGAGTCTTTGGCCAAGAGGGCAACAGAGCTCCTTCGGGGCTCATCCAACTAAGTGGGTCACCGGGAACTGGAAAGGGTGGGCAGCCCCTCTTCTTCCACCCAGGAGCCTGAGTGACTGGCCAGTCCTAGGCGTAAAGCCACTGGGACAGCAACCCGCTTTATATAATTTTGCACATCAGAGCGGGCAGTATGAAGGACAGTCAGAACCTCCCTCCACCCCAGGTGACCGCAGACTCCAGGCAACCTTCACGTCCTCCCCCTCCCACTTCTCTCTTGGGAGGGGTCCATCCTGGCAGCCCTCACTGTGGAGAAGAACATGGTGAAGATGTAGATGGCTGCCTCCAGCAGATAGCCGGTCCGCACCGCAATGGCCACTGGTGGGACGAACATGAGGTTGCTCAGGCACAGGAGGAGGGTGGAGAGCAGCTGGAAGCCGTAGGAGAAGGCGGCTGCGTTGTCGGTGCAGCCCCAGCCGCTCCAGCCTGCGGGCAAGTACTGGCATCAGGGTCGACTGCCCCCCCCCCCAGAGGGTGTGCTCTCCCCACCGTATTTCAAGTCAGAAGAGCAGCAGCCTGGAGATGGAGAAAGGTGGGAACGGAGCCGGAGACCCCCCCCCCGACAGTCTGTCCACTGCCCACTTACCCGCTTTGCACTCGCAGGCCGCATATAGATAGTTGTTGGTGCGCAGAAGCTTGCACTGGCCATAGGGACCGCAGTCATTGATGCAGGGGGAGAGGAAGGCACGTAGGTACACCTCAGTGGTCAGGTTCCCACAGGATGAGGGCCTGCAGGGAGGCAGGCCATTTCAAGAGGGAGCATCCTGGCAGCATCCCATCTGCCGCTTGAGACTACGTGCCCGGCCCCAGCCACAGGGAAGTGAGAAAGTGCCCAGCCAGTTGGTGGAAGAAGAGCCGAGTCAGGCCTGAGCTTGTGGGGCTGGGCCTAGTGAGGGGGGCTAGCTGGGGGGGGGGGATCCAGAGTCTCTTCCTAGTGGGGGGGTCAGCCAAGAACTACCAGACTCCCCACAGATGGGTGCGAAAAAGAGGCCTCTTTGGGTAATAAGGCGTGCTCTTGATTAATATTTTCAGTTTCTTTAAAGAAAGAAGAAATTGTGTGGAATATAGAACTTGGATAATTGTATAGAAAAATGGACTCTAGTAACTCAAAAGTTCATTATAATGGTGAAATTACACCTCTTGAGTGGTCAATTAGTTATTAACGAGCTCTTGCTAAGAATATTGTGGGATAGTATGAATTGTTACATGATACATATATAGTTGCTGGGCATATATAGCTGCTTGATATGGTGCTGTTCCAGTTGAAGAACACATTCCAAACCCAATATGTTTGAAGTGTATGTAAACTGATTTTTCCCCTTTCCTAAGGGTCTTTCCACCTTGTGCCTGTGGGAGACCTATCCCTTGCTTATGCATAAATAAAAGATATTAATCTACCTTTCTGGCTCGGATTCTATTTTGACCAGGGGAACACCAGCCTAACACCCTTACTGTGAGAGCTCTCAGCAGCTTCTGCTGCCTCCGCACCGCTGCCTCCTGCTAGACGAGGGCATCAGGCCCTCCCCGCACAGCTGAACCCCTCCCTGGTAGCCCCACAGAGAGGCCCATAGGAGCTGGGCCGCCTCCTGCCCTGACTGTCACATCACCCACATCATAGTAGGGTGTTCTGGAAAGTTTCTATGGCACAGATTCCGTCACTCCTTCCAAGCAGTCTGCATCCTTTTCATTTTAGTCATTTAGCCATTTTAACTGGCATCATTTTAACTTTCCTGTTTGCCATCTATATTATGCCAGTTAAAATGGCTAAATGACTAAAATGAAAAGGACGCAGACTGCTTGGAAGGAGTGACGGAGTGACTGGCCAGCTGCCAGGCATGAGGGTGGCCCTCCCAGCCATTTTCCCAGACAGGGAGGGTCCTTCACCACCAGCTCGGAGCGTGGACTGGGACCATTCCAAGCAGCAGCGCAACTGTGGTTACCTTCTCTGTTTTCTGCTGCTCCTTGGGGGGATGCCCAGCCAGGCTGACTTACCTTTGGTCTGTGGTGCAGAGCGAGCGCAGACTCAGGTACCAGCTGCCCGTCTGGGGGTAGGGAATCCGCAGTCGGGTGAAGGGGGAGGCGGCATTTATGGACAGCAGGAACCCAGCCAGCAGCTCTGCCAAGTAGAAGCAGTGGCTGAGGCCAGCTCAGCTGCCTTGTGAGGGCCAGTCCACCAGTTGTGCAGCAAAAGCCCTCTGCAAGGAGAGTCCCTGCTGGTCACTGCAGATGCAGGGGAGGTGCTGGCCTTACCTGTCTGGCAGGTCACTGAGGAGTCCCCTTCTGAGGCCAAAGGCACCTCGTGGTTCAGACACGCAAAGATGGTAGCATTCTCCCCGCGCAGAGAAGACTAAAGGAAGAGATGGGAGTCTGCATTATCATCCCGTACAATGTCTCCTCTTGTTCCCACATTCAGGTCTGCCCCCTTGCGGCCTCAGGGGTCCCCTTTAGGGCAGAGGGTGGTTGGAAGAAGTCAGTCACGGAGGCCGTCTCTCCAGTCCTGCCTGTACCCGGGCACCAGGCCCCCACCCCCTGGCTGCCCAGCTTCTGCGCCTCTGCCCCAAAGCCACTGACCACAGTTGAGCTGCCCCCCTTACACATGCCGAAAGATCTGGCCCGGACGCACCACGTTCAGCTTCAGCTCCAGGTTGAGGATCCCTCCGCTGTCCAGCACGGGCAGGAGGTTGATGGCAAAGACAGCTGGCCGGTCAGGGGGCACCGACACATTGGGCCCAAAGAAGATGTAGAAGTGCACCGAGAAGGTGTCCAACTCGTTGCGCAGAGTGGGCCGGGTGGGCCAGCAGTGCTCCCCCCCTCTGGTAGGCCTGGGGGGTGTGGGGGTGGCTGGGGGTTGGAAGCTGCTGGGGAGGGAGGGGGGCAGAATGTCTGCCAGGGCCAGCCCTCCGGTGGAGCCAAAGGAGTGAGGCATGTTCAGGTGGGAGGCAGGTAACTGGGCTTCACCCAAGCCAGTCTGAGAGCAGTCTGCAAAGACAGGAAGGGGGGCATTTGGATTGTGGCCCAACAGCCCCGCAGACCAGTAGCCCTCCTCCCCTCAATAGCCTAGCCTTGGGCCTCCCTTGTTCTCTTTCAGGAGACCCTCTTTGGGTTCCCAGATCCAGTCCCAGTGGAACTTTCTGCTGAGGGGTCTTCTTCATATAAGGGGCAGAGGTCTCTGGGACTTCTCCCCATCAGGCACCCCACTTGAAGCTGCTTGGCCTGACCTGGGAGATGGGGGGGGTAGTAAGTGCTTTCCCACTTGGCCATGCCAGAGGAGCAGCATCCCTCCCCCACTGCTTTTTCTGCCCACCTCTGCCTCTGCAGGAGACAAGGGCAGTCAGTCGCTCCCCCCTGGTTTCTCCCAGCAGAGGAAAGAATGAGATGCCATCCTCAAGCTCACCTTATTTTCCACCCCTGACGGGGGGGGGGGCAGAAGGAATGGATGAGCCCTAGATGACATGACCTGGGAACCTGAGCTCAGGGCACCTTAGTTTAGGAAACTCATCCTGCTAGGTGGGCTTGCTCAGTTCCACAAAGTCTCCCAAGACCAATTCTGCACAGCCACCTCTGCCCATTCTGTGCCACGTTCCTAGGTGTCACTCGAGGCATGAAGCTGGTGCTTTCCACCCCAGGATCCCCATCTCTTGTGGGCCAACTCACCCTTCAGCTGCACCACCAGCTGAAAACCCATCCGGTCTGGCAGCGGCAGAAGTTTCTCCACCAGGATGAAGTACCAGTTTTGCCAGAAGGGGTGCTCCAGCACAAGGCGGCAGGGCAGCTGCTCCCGGCAGTCCACGGCTGTAGAGTTGTGCAGAGGGGGGGCCTTGCCACGCACTTTCAGCCCCAGTGGGCAGCTTGATGCACTCTGGTTGCCTCTGTGACAGTTTCGCAGCTGCACAAGTACCCTGGAGGTATAGCTGGGAACGAAGACCCTACGGGCAAAGGAATCTCATTGCCCCATGTCTTCCGTGGCTCCTATAAGGATGGGCAACTGGCCATCTCTGGCATTTGGCTGCCCCTCCCGGAGGAGACCCAGGATGGGCTAGCCAATTTTCCAGCTGGCCTTTTCTGCAAATTTGAAGCACTGGGGGAAGGGAGGCCTCCCTCTTCTTTGACCTTCATTTTTTCCAAAGCCCCCTGGTCTCTCTTCCCATCCAGTAATGCCATGGGTTTCCCAGCATGCCTCCTGCTGCCTACAAAGTGGAGCCCAGATCCAATATGGTTGTCTTCCCAGGTGAGCATTTTTGGACTGGGAGCCATGTGTGAACTTGGTGCCCTCACTGGGGTCTGTGGGGGCATCACTGGGGATTCCGGCTAGACCACTGGGGGCCTCCTTCATTCCAGCTTCTTGGAAACATCTCCAGAGCTCCCTCAGCCAAGGGCACATGGGCAGAGGTCTCTGGGACTTCTCCCCATCAGGCACCCCACTTGAAGGGGTGGGAAGGAGCAGATCCTGCAGCCCTTACTTCATTATTCCCTTCTGCTACCTCCCCCCGCAGAATGCCTGCCTCCCACACCACAAGAGAAGCCCTGTTCCTTGGCCGTGACACTCACTTGTAGAGCAGGGACCGAGTGTGGGGGGAGATGACGTGGTCAGTCTCATAGCCTGGGTGTAGCACACCAATGCCCACCAGCCTTTGGACGATGAGCTGGGGCTGGAAGAGATACTGGCAGTCCTCTGCAAGTCCCTGTGGGGGGAAGCGGGCCCTGTCAGAAACCCCTAGCCCAGGAGTAGGCAACCTTAGCTCTTTTATGACTCATGGACTTCCATTCCCAGAATTCCTGAGCCAGCTATGCTGGCTGAAGGATTCTGGGAAAGGAAGTCCACGAGTCATAAAAGAGCCAAGGTTGCCTACGCCTGCCCTAGTCCAATCTACCTGTTCCCCGTCCATATATCCAGCCTTGCAGGAAGGACTGAGGCTGTCGCATGAGCCTCTCCCAAGAGAGAGGGGCTGGTGCTGCCCTCGAGACAGGTGTGATGCAAATGCCCTCCATGTGGCTTCTTCTCCTACAAGGAACCCTTTACCTAATAACCCCTTCTTGGGCTGTCCCCATGGAAGCGTGAATTGAGTGCGCCAGGGAGTTCAGCTGTGTACCAACTGCCCCTGCCTTGAACAAGGCTTCTTTCCACAGAAGAGTCAACCCAGCCATTTCCTGGGACTTCTCCCTCCCCAGACATTTTTTATGGAGGGGGGTTTACAAGCCTCGCATCTTCTTTGGCCTTTTTCATTCCTCAATGGGCATGAATTAGGCCACAACCCCCATCATCCCTGCCCAGCACAGCGGATTACCTGCTGTTGGGACTGGCTCCCCCAGATCCCCTAGGGATCTGGCATTCTCCTGCAGCTTGAGAAACCCGCACTCACCTTGACAGAGATCTTGCCCTGCTCTCTGGGCAAATGGGCAGCCAGGAACCAGTCTCCGGGCAGGGGGCTGGTGATGTTGAAGACCCCAGTGGTCCTGTTGGGCAGCGTCCAGGTGAGCGTGAGGGCAAAGGAGCCGGGCACAGCTGTGTCCCTGGGGAAGTGCATGCCCAGTGGGTTAATGACTGGTGGCGCTCCTGAGCGGAAGTACCTGCCCAGAGAGACAAAGGCAAGAGTCAGAGACAGGAGGGCCTGTGCGGAGTTGGGGGAGTGGGGGCTCATGGGAGGGGGCTGCAAGAGGAGGTGGGAGCTGGGGAGCTCATATTTGTCTGCCAGAATGGGAATCCAGGCCTCTACTTTGGGCTTGGGAAGCTTTCCCTTGCCTAATACAGGGCTTTTCAACCAGTAGTACGGGTACCACCTGTGGTACATTGGCACCTGGCAGGTGGTACATGACCATCCTAGAAAAGTGGTAGCGGGGGAGGGGAATGAGCTGAACCGGTGGCAGCACCGCATAAGCCTGAGCGAGAGTCGGCTGGAGCTGCAGGGCTGTCAGGACTCAGTGGAAGCGCCAGGATCAGTGCCAGGCTCCAGCTGGAAAGTGGCACTGATCCTTGCACTTCCACTGAGCCCTGACAGCCCCAAAGAAGCACCGATCAGCTGAAAAGCAGCACTGATCCTGGCGCGTGCGCTCACACACACACATATACGTGTGCAGGCCTGGGAGAGGTGAGCTGAACCAAGCCATGCAGAGGCAATGACGGGGGAGGGGAAGCCTTTGCCCACCACTGCCTGCCTGTTGCTACCACTTCCGGGAGCCTTTGGCAGTTCAAAAAAAAAAAAGCGGGAAGGAGGGAGGAAGGGAGGAAGGGAGGAAGGAAGGAAGGAAGGAAGGAAGGAAGGAAAGTAGGGAAGGAGGGAGGGAACTTGGATATAAAAGGAGGAGAGAGAAATTTGTTAAATGAGCTTTGCCCCATTTTATGATTTTTCTTGCCACAGTTGTTAAGTGAATCACTGCACTTGTAAAATTAGTAACATGGTGGTTAAGTGAATCTGGTTTTCCCACTAACTTTGCTTGTCAGAAAGTTGCAAAAGGTGATCTCATAACCCTGGAACAATGTGACCACCATAAATATAAATCGATTGCCAAGCATCCGAATGTAAATCATATGACCCTGGGGATGCTGCAACAGTCATAAGTGTGAAAAATGGTCGTCACTTTTTTCAGTGCCGTTGTAACTTTGTACAGTCGCTAAGCAAACTGTTGTAAGTCAAGGGCTACCTTTACTTTATCACTTTTTTCCGGGTTTTTTTAGTCATCAAGTTTTTGACACCTTGCTAGGTGACTGGTGTACTCGAAGATTGCCATATTCTAAAAGTGGTACAATTGGTGAAAAGGTTGAAAAGCCCTGATCTAATCTACCCCACAAATGAACAAATTATTAATAAAAAAACACCCCTCCCCTGCCCCCAAGTGCAAAGTTTTTGGTTTCCCACGAGTCTTCTTAAGTCTCAAAGCGGCTGGCAACACTCAGAGCCTAAAGCTTTGTGCAACCCACGAACCTTGCAAAGGCCCTCCCACCCATTTCTCTGAAGCGGGAGGAGCAGTTAAAGGAACAACCCCCCCCCCTAGAAACAGGAGTATTACAGCTTTGCCAGTGCGTGCAGCCCAGCCCCGGCGAGAACCCAGCCTGGGAGGCCCCGCAGCCAGGACAAACAGCCCTGCCTCGACTCACACGGTGATGCTCCGGTCCGGGCATCGGTCGCCGAGGGTGCCGCCCTGCTCTTTGAAGGTGACCAGGTTCCAGACGGCCACTGCAGTGTCCTCTGGGATGCGGAAATGGAAGAGCTCCAGGCTGGTGAAGGAGCGGAAGGCGTTCAACTTGCGAGGCGTCCGGGTGAAGTAATCGGTCACGAACAGCCCAGCTGGGGAAAGAGAGGAAGGGTGGACTGTGGTTGGAGGCTGCTGGGCAGGGCAGGGGCACGAAGCCAGTCCAAGCCAAGAGGGAGCAGCTGTCACCCGGTTCCCCAATGGACCGGGATTGCTCTTGCTCCGCAGAGACACCCCCCTCTACACATGCTCCCTGCATCCCTGTCCCAGAGCGACACCCGCCCACCCATCCCCAGCTGCCTTTCTACACCCACCCATCCCACAGGCCTGGAGAGCCTCTGGTAACTGAAGGTCAGCCAGGAGCCTCCCGAGTGCAGGCCCAAGACGCAGTTAGGCGCTTTCCGCCCCTGCGAAATGGGTTTGCCTCGCTTCCAAGGCAAACCAACAGAAAGTTCTGCATCGGGAAGTTTCCATCCCAGGAGACTCAGCTGGCCTAAGATTGGAGAAGCTCCTGTCTCCAAACAACTCCCTTGCCGCCGCCCCCAGCAAGCACACAGCATCAAATTCCTGGGTATGCAGCTAATGAGTAGGCTGGCTTGGTTGCTCAACAGTGAGAAACTGGTGAAGCGGGCACAGCAGCGCCTGCATTTTCTGTGTCGCATGAGAAAAGCACATCTTCCTTCCCCTGTCCTGACCACTTCCTACAGGGGGACGATCCAGAGCATCCTGTCATATAGTATCACAGTCTGGTTTGGAAGCATCCCTGCTTCAGACAGGAAGACGGTGCAGAGAGTGGTGAGGACGGACGAAAAGATCATTGACAGCTCCCTCCCTCCCATCCAGAACATAGCACAGAAGCGCTGCTTGAGCAGGGTCCGTAAGATTATCTGGGACACTACACATCCTCTTCATGACCTGTTTTCTTTGCTATCTTTTGGGGGAAGAGGGCTTCGTGGTATCCATAGCAGAACATCCAGATTCAGCCATAGTTTCATTCCATACAGTATTAACCTTGTGAACTCTCAAGCTTCCTCCTTCCATTATATATCCAAGATGGGCAGTATTTAATATTTATTTGTTATGTATATGTAGGGGTCTGGGTCTATACATATGTTGTACATAGTATGCTTAGGTATGTGTCATGTATATGTTTCACTCTGAGAGCGGGCAACTAAATTTTATTTTTGATGTGAGCCGTTGTGCCCACAGTAAAAAAATGACAATAAGGATGATCTTATCTTATCTTGCACTTATGCCCTCCCCACAAGAAATGACTCTTCCCCCTACTAGGCCTGCCTTGTAGAAGAGGTTGCAGGGCCCTTGCACACCATATTTGCACCAAAAGCCGAGGTGACGCAGCAGTTAGAGTGCAGTACTGCAGGCCACTTTAGCTGACTGTGTTCAGCGGTTCAAATCTCACCGGCTCAAGGTTGACTTAGCCTTCCATCCTTCCGGGGTAGGTAAAATGAGGACCCAGATTGTTGGGGGCAATGTAAATATATATATACATTGCTTACTGGTGTACACCGCTTAGAGAGTGCTTGCACTTAAAGCGGTATATAAGTCTCATAAATAAATAAATAAATAAGAGGCGCTCACCTACCGATCCTGGAAATGGCCTTTCTAAGGACGCAGCCTTCAGTTGCAGGGGGGGGGGCTCCTGGCCTGCCATCTTCTGGGGTGGCCAAGCACTTGCTCAACTGAGGGTGAAGGTTCTCTCTCATGCTCAGAGAATGAACCTTCACCCTCATCCTAAATCCGAGCTACAGATATTACAGATATTCAACACTACTGCAACCTACTTAACTCCTCTGAGCTGTCTATTCCCTCCACACCTTGAAACACTTCCACACAACACTAGCTGCCCCAGATTATCTGGGTGGGAGGCAAGGCCTGTTCCTTTCTGACAGAGACAGCATGGATGACATCACCAGCCTAGCAGGCAGGAGACCAAAGCCAAGGTTGGGAGGGGTGGATGCTTGGGCGAGTAGGCTTTCCACACCCTCTGCCAGTCTTGTGCATGCATATGCACATACACACACACCCCCTCCAGCAAGCTGCTTCTGCCTTTGGTCCCTCTGCCAGTCTTGGCAGAGGGACCAAGGGCAGAAACAGCCTGCTGGAAGGGGGGGTGTGTGTGTGTCCATGCACACACTGTCTCATGGCAAACTGGAAAAACCTATGTAGAGAGAAGCATTGGGTAGGTCAATGTGCAAGGGCTAGGCCAGACATGTCAAACACAAGGCCCGGGGCCCAGATGCGGCCTGCAAAATGGTTTCATGCAGCCCGCGAAGCCATCCTGGAAACAGTGAGGGAACAGCCCCTTCTGCCTTGGCCCTGGCCCAGGCCAGCCGGGAGCCAATGTACAATTTTGTGGTGGCCATCTATGCTGAAACGCATTCAGTCTTACCTCCACAAGGCCGTCTAGAAACAGCGAGGAACCAGCTCCTGCTGTGTCGGCCCCGCCCCCTGGGTGCATGCTGGAGAGGTGTCACCCTTTGTGAGGAATGAAGAAATGCACCATGCCTTGGCGCTTGCCCTGGTCCCACCCCCTTCTGCCAAAGACCCTCAGATCTGTCCCACTCCTGCCCAGGCCCCCACAGGCACCCTTGACACGAACAATGTAGAGCTGGCCATGCCCACCCAGTAGGCCACACACACTCCATCCATGCCCACCCTGTAGGCGCCCCCTCCCCCCTCCCCCCTGAGGGCAACTGCAATGCTGATGCAGCCCTCAATGAAATTGAGTTTGACACCCCGGGGCTAGGCTATCTTTGCTTCTATGAGGTTCTCCATCCAGGAGCCCTTTCTTGGAGCTAGATGGAGGTGCCTGCTCAGGAGCCCTGCTCCACCAGAGAAGAGTGTTCTGCCTCCTCCACGTGTTTTTCCCCATAGGGCCCAGGTTCCTTCTGGGCCCGAGTAAAAGCCACAACTAGGATTGTGATATCTAATTAATACATCCGGAATTCAATCTGAAACTTACTTCCCTGTAATCGGAATCCATTGTTTTCTGGAGCCAGAGGGAGCAGGCACGTGCCGCCTTCTGTATCGCAATCTGGGTGAATTGTGGTGGTGGGTGGCTTTTAAGCTGTGTTTTAATGATTGGTTTTGGTCTGGGGTGGGGAAGCTGAAAGGATCCTTAACAGTCACATCCTTCGTGCTCTCTGAGCTTGGTTGTGTGCAGGCTTGCTTGCAAATATTCCACGACCTAATTAGGAAACAACACCAGGGCACTCATGTGCACAGAGCAATGGTGATGCGACCTCACGAAATGTCTGCAAGCAAACAGCCAAGCAGCAAGGACCCCACAGCTAGGGAGATTCCCCTCTGAGGCTCATTTACACTGGGCAAACTGGAAGAAAAGATAATCTATCCTCAGATCACCTTTTGTTTTGAGCTTCATATGCCTGGCTTAGACTCAGCTACAGTAGGCAGGAGCCCCCTGAGACCGGCAAAAACAGTCTTGATGGGAAGTACAAAGCAGCCAGAACAACTGGGACTCTCTGTTTCTACTGTTGCTGCCTGGAGGAGGGTTTGATTTCTTTATGCCTGTCTGGCCCATGGTTCAATCAAAAAAAATGTCAACATTCAAATAATACAGACAGAACTGGCTGGCTGGCTGGCTGAAGTGACATATACATCTGTAACTAAAATCAGGCTAATGAGACCTCATTCTGACAACCATATAGCATATGTTTTCTAGTTGCAAAGAAAAGGATTCTGATATAATCAGAGGGTTTGGCTTACACCAGGCTGGATTCCAACAAACTCCCCAATGCCATTTTAACCTGAAACAAAAGAATGAGGAACACCCACAGTGCAACCAAGCTTGATCTTTAAGCTCAGTGTTGCAATGTGCCCTGACAGGGAAACAGCCCGGTCCTGAATTTTGAAGGGTCGCTCAGGCCTGGTTGGTGCTGTCATCAGGTTTAGCCTAAAGAACATTTGGGACATGGGAAGTCTGTCCACACCTGATGGCTGGGAGTAGAAGGGGGAACCTTCTAGTACCCCAGAGCCTCCCTGAGGCTCTGGGGTACTACAGGGTTCCCCTTTCTACTCCCAGCCATCAGCCAAAACATGGAACGGGTGAGCCACCAGCATAACTTCTCAAGGTGCCCCTCCTTTCTTGAGGTGCTCTAGCACAGAATAATGGAATAGCCTGCACATAGGCTGGAAGGGAAGCATGGAACATAGAATCCTAGGGTTAGAAAAGACATCAGAGGTCTTCTAGTTCAACCCCCTGCTCAAGGCAGGAGACCCTATACTATCTCAGTCAAATGGTTTTTGAAAAGTTTGAAAGCTATTCTATTGGTTAATTGTTCTCACTGTCAAAAAAAATCTCCTAGGTTGGATCTCTTTAACAAGTTTCCACCCATTATTTCTGGTGCCTTAGAGAATAAGTCAATCCCCTTTGTGAAGCCCCTCAAGTACCAGAAGACAGCTATCATGCCCCCCCTAATCCTTCTCTTTGATAGGCAAAACATACCAAGCTCCCTCAACTGTTCATCGTATGATTTAGCCTCCATGCCCTTTATCATCTTTGTTATATATCATGTCTGCATGCTTTCTAGGGACTCAGCATCCTTTTTGTGACTGGAACTGTATGGAGTCTTCCAAGTGTTGCCTCACCAGTGTAGTATAGAATGGTACTATCATTTTTCATGATTTTGATGCTATTCTTCTACTGATGCATCCCACGACTGCATTGGCTTTTTCGGCAGCTGCCACACACTGCTGGCTCATACTTAAGTAGTGGTCCTCTAGGACTCCAAGATAGTTGCTACTGTTGAGCCCTATTCTGTACCTATGCATTTGAGTTTTCCTACCTAAGTGCAGCAGCTTACTTTACTCACCACTGAACTGCATCCCAAATGCTCAAGTCTGTCAAGACTTCTGAATCTTGAGTCTATCTTCTAAAGTATTAGCAATTCCCACCAGTTTTGTGTCATCTGCAAATCTGATGAGCTTCAATCTCCTCATCTAGATAATTTGTTAAGAGGTTGAACGGTACTGGGCCTAAGACAGAACTTTGAAGCACCCCATTACATAGTCCCCTCCTTGTAGATATAGTTCCCTTAAGGACTGCACATTGCTTGCACTGCTTCTGTCTTAGGCTCAGCACTTGAACCAACTGCCTGCAGTCAATTGTGAATCTATCTGGTGGTGATGCTATGTCTATCCCACATTGTTCTGTTTTGCCAAGAAGTAGGCTGTGGTCTATTTTGTCAAATGCTGTACTGAAGTCCAAGTATACTTTGTCCACATAATTTTGCTGATCCATTAATTTAGTCTCTTTATCAAAGAGGGATATAATATTTGTCTGGCATAACCCGTTTTTAAGAAACCCATGCTGGCTTCTAGTAGGCTGAGTCCTTTTCATTGGTTGGAGGCAGGCAGTAAAAACTCCTGGCCTGTGAAGCTGAAGACAAGGAGGGCAGTGGCAAAGGGAAATGGTGCCCCCCCCCACCCAGGTACTAGATATCTGCCTGACGAGTTGGCAGAATTCAGGCACGGTGGGTGGAAAGGCACAGGGCCTCCTTGTCCTCGTTTAAGGCCCTGCACCAGGACTGCTTGGCCTCGGAGGAGTGGTTCTCGCTACCACCACCACCACCCCCGCCTCCGCTGACCTTCCACTGCTGCTTCCTACCCTCTCCATATTGGCACAGCAAGGTCTTTGGCCGGACTCGGGCCGTACAGGAAGAAGGCAACTCCGCCTCCAGACGCAGGGCCGCCGGGAGGCAAAATGGTCAGCCCGTTTCAGAGAGGCGCGCGATCTCCTGCGAAGCTGGGCGGAAGATGTTGCTGTGCGCCGCAGCGCCGCGGCTTTCCTTGTCTTCCCGCGTCGGCGCGGCTCGCTTTCAGCACCGCGGCGGGGGACAGCTCCGAGCGCCGGGTCGAAGGGCTCCCGGCGGCCCCTCTCCGCGGCTCTTTCAGCACCAGGCGCCCGGGACAGCTCCCGCCGGGCCCGGGCCCCCCGCCCAAGGGCTGCCTCCCCGCCCGCCGCGCACTCACCGGCCGGGGGCCCCAGGCGGAGCCAGGCGAGCAGCTGGAGCAGCAGCTGGAGCCGCCCGAGAGCCGCGCAGCCCATACCGAGAAGGCCGCGCCGGGACGGGCTGCCGCGCTCGGGCACCCGCAGAAGTGGCCGCAGCCATGACGTCGTCAGGGCCCGCTGCAGCCCGGGCGCCGCGCCTTCCCGATTGGCCCGGCTCGAGAGGCTGCCCGGGGGAGGCCGCGGGTGCCCATTGGCCGGCACAGCCGCCGCTCACTCACCCGCGGAACAGGAAGGCTCCGCCCTACCAAGGACTGGGGGCCGCCGGGCCGCCCGATTGTGCGCTTGCCCGGCGTGGAGGAGGATCGTGGAGGCGGCGTCGGCGTCGCAGGTTGCAGGCCCGGAAAGCCGCGATTTCACCAGCGACGAGCCGTTAGCGGCCGGAGTGGCGGAGCCTCGGAATAAGGAACGAGTCGGCTCAGGAGCATGGAGGTCGCCTTCCAGGTCTCCGGAGGGCCCCGCAGGGAAGCCTGCCGGAGGAGAAGCACCCGATCCGGCCACAGCGGGGGCTCAGCCGGCCTGGGCAATGGCTGCCCGGAGTTGGCCCTGGGTACCTTATAGCTTAAAACACCATCTCCAGAAGTGGGGTGTGTCCCTCCACAAGGTTTTCCCTGAAGGTGTTAGCTGCCAAGCAGTTGGAGACTTTCCTTGGCAGAGTTTGACTTCATATTCACCAATGCTGGGGGTCTGAACCTCAGTCCCATTCTTCCTGCATCCCATTGGTCACAAGCCACCTGATGTTTTAGCATAAACAATGATGTAATGCCAACCCATGATGCGGTCAATCACACTGCCTTAATGGACAGCAGAGAAACATGGATTTCTTAGAGCTGGCAAGAAAAACTTTCCTGTTTTGTCATCATAGCCTTCCAGGTCTGAGAAGGGAAGCCTCCATCTCCAGTATCAATCTTACTGTGAGTAAATTAGTGGACCGAGAAAATGCTGTGAATGTAGTATAGTTAGATTTTAGTATGGGACTTGATGAAGTAGACCACAGCCTATGTCTTGGTAAGATAGGACAATGTGGGACAGACAGTGCAACCACCTGATGACCCTGCAGTTGACTGACCAGCTGCACTCATCCTCTGGCCCTTAAAGGGGCCTGCACCTACATGGAGAAAACTATGCAATGGGGGTTCCTCAAGATGCAGCTCAGTGGTGAGGAAAGGAAGGTCCTGCACTTAGGTAGGAAAAATCACAGAAGGACCGTTGAAAAGTCTTCATTGGGTGAGCTTATCTTCAACTCTGAACAAAAGAAAAATTGTTGCTGTTAGTTGGGAAGTCATGTCTGACCCATTGCGACCCATGGACAACATGGGTCAACGTTCCTCCAGGCCTTCCTGTCTATCATCTTCTGGAGTTCATTTAAGCTCACGCCTACTGCTTCAGTGACTCCGTCCAGCCACCTCATTCTCTGTCGTCCCCTTCTTCTATTGCCCTCTATCTTTCCCAGCATTAGGCTCTTCTCCAATGAGTCCTTCCTTCTCATTAGGTGGCCAAAGTACTTGAGTTTCAACTTCAGGACCTGGCCTTCTAAAGAGCAGTTGGGGTTGATCTCCTCTAGGACTGACCGGTTTGATCACCTTGCAGTCCGAAAGAAGAATTACACACCTAAAAAGTAAAAGAATTTGAAATAAACAGTAAACATCTAAATAAGATGTTCATCTAGGTAAGTTATAAGAGGATTAAGAATCCAGATAAATTTGAAATATTGACTATTACAACTATTAAGTTTTGGAATTAACTTCAAAAAAAATAAACAACTTTTCATGGGAAATATTTATTTTTGTTATCGTGTCAATTGCTTTTGTTATAAGTGAGGATTTTGGAAACAGGATACTAAAGGGGATTAAGGATTCTAAGCAGAAGGGGAAAAAATACAAGTCTGATGTCAGTTAAAATTAGATCTTAAAGGATGATAGAAAATATTCTTCAAATTTTTGAAAAAAAATGGAGCCAGAAGTTAGCAACTGCAATATCAACACTGTCAGTAATGATGTCTGTTTGTGGGTTCCTTGCTGTTCTTTGAGCTTGTTTGACTTCTGAGATGTTTTTGACATATGGCTTGTGTTGGTTGTACTGTATTAGGTTGAGTGGTCAGGCACTTTTTGATAAAGTTGTGTGGGTATCCATTTTGTTGGAAGATGTACAGATGATCTGGGAAACAGAGCATCGTAGATCAAGCCAAATAGAAATACTGTCTTCCAATGATTCTGCTTTTATGGATAGACCTTGTCTAAGAGATGTAATTGAAGGAATAGCAATAGCCCTTAGATTTATATACAGCTTCATGATGCTTTACAGTCCTCTCTAAGTGGTTTACAAAGTCAGCATATTGCCCCCAACGAACTGCTGGCAGTCAGCAGAGAGCCTGCAATACTGCATTCTAACCACTGTGCCACTATGGTTCTTGACAGATAGGAAGCAACCATTTTATACTGAATGAAGGCAAATATAGGTATCCCAGGGTAACATTGCAGGACCCAATCTGAGTCGGTCACTGGGATCAAAAGCTGATTCTTCCAAGCTTTCAAGCTCATGCTGGAGCCCATCCCCAGAGAACTCTCTCTCCAGAATATGTGCCCTGGGCTGTTCTATGCATTGTATTTATATGCTTGCTGGTTGTGTGTAGCTTTTAGTTATTAATTAGGGTCTTGGTGGCTTGTTATTAGGTCACTGTTTCCTTGTGACTCCTCGCTGGTAGGCCAGTGGCAAATCAGCACTCCTATTCACCGACAAGGGGCCTGTTTCCCAAGCTTCAATAATTTATCTGGCTATTTTTGTTCCTGCGTGGCCAACAATCATAGCAGCTGTGAAACTGAATGCATCTCCTTGTTCATTGCCATGTGAGGCTACCAATGAGTTCAGGTCTCCTCATCTAACCACTCCCTCGTGTTCTTGCAATCTGTGGTTAGCTTCCTCCCCATCTGTCCTACATAGTCACAGAAGCAATACATGCAGGGAGTCTGGTAAATTACCTTCAAAGTTTCTCCCACTTCCAAACAACCTTTGTAGTGCATGATTTGGCCTTATATTGTTAGCCTCTGGGTGTTTAGAGATGCCCACTTGCACAGCGGTCCCCAACCGTTCTGGCTCCAGGGACCAGTTTCAAAAGAAAAATTGTCTTCACAGATTAGCAGTAGCAGTGTGTGGGGGAGCTGGGAATGGCTTCTTGTGCACAACCCACACATGCACAAATAACCTTGGCACACTTGCACAGCTCTGTTTCCAACAGGCTATGGACTGTTGGGCCCCCCAGAACTTACAGATCTCGGAAACTACGTTCTACTGCTTCTGAAATGTTTTTAATGTATGGCAGGGTGTGCCATGAAGTTCGTTTTGTACCTTTGTTTCTTCCTTTCTCTCCCCAGCATATTGTGCAGGCATCTTGTGATAAATGCTTGTAGGGCCCATGCTGCTTGTATTGTTCACATAGGTACCTGCTCACCAGTTGTTTTGCTTGCAGCTTTTGCTTGCAGTGTGTGTTCCCACCCAGCCATATAGTGTTTTGACACAATTTTTTATGTGTCAGTGGATGCTTACTGTTGAAGCTCAGAATGTGTGGAATCCTGGTGGCCTTGCAATAAACTGCGGTTTCTAGGCTTCCATCTTCCTGTCTGTTGATAAGTGCATCCCAAACTGGCAATTGCATAGTTGTTTATTCTTCCATTGTGACATACAATTCACAGTGGAGGAAGAAATGGCCCGACAGAGGAAACAGAGAATGTGGAACTACTGATGACAAACCAAGGGAATGATTTGGAAAAGGATGTCTTATTGGATATTTTATTTATTAAATTTACACACTGCCCACTCACTGTCAAGTGACCCTGGGTGCTATTCAAAACAACCCTGGTGAAGTTTTAAAAACTAAAAAGAAAATACAAAGGATACATCAAGAGAATGACCTGGAAAATGTATTTTTAATTGAATCTACAAAAAGGCTTATTGTCAAATCGAAACCCAGAGTGCCAAGGAGATGAGGTGGGGAGGGGGGATTGGCTAAATCCTCAGAGATCCAGAACCAGGCATGTTTAGAGGAAAGAAGAGAAGGCGGAGGGAGAGAGGGAGGGAGTAGGCTGGGTTCCTCGCCTTCCTGCTCTGCTCCCTCTGTCCAGCCTGCCCCTTGAGAACTTGGTCAGAGGGCAGAGGCTAGATGGGGGGGGGAGGAGGGAGCCAGCAGTCTGGTGTTCTTGGTGGCTCCTGGAACAAGTGGCCACTCAAGGATCATTGGGTGCCTGCTTGGCAAGAAAGAAACAATGGGGAGATCTTTATACGTCGGGTGGGGGGGTTGAGGGTCAGAAATATGAGGGAGCCGATTCCTGGGACGTCTTGAGCAAGCGAGAGAAGAGGGTCAAACGAAAGGAAAAAGTCTTTAAAGCGAGGCTGCTGCTGATTCCGACGTTAAGAGGAGGGGAGGCTGAGACCCTCAACCGACACACCTGATGGGGAGGGAATACCTCCGCTTTCTCACTTCCCGCTTCCAGGCCAACTTTCTTCAGGGGGGCGCTTTGCATTCTGTTCTTCACCCGCTCTGGGATTTTTCGGAGAAATGGCCAGCCCCCCCCCCACCTCCTCTCCCAGGTGGACTGCAGCCACTGCGAAGGGTGGGGGGGATTTGCCTCCCTTCGGGAAGGGCGAGAAGTAGCGCGGCCAGCGGAACCGGGGATTTGGATTCAGGCTTAGCGGGGAGCGGATTCTCTGAGCGCAGTAGCCCTTCGCCCCGCAGAGCGGCGGTTTTCGCCAAAAACAGAGAAATATTTCCCGGGCCGGAATGGAACCGCTGAACCCGGCTGCCTTCACGTGCCCACTTCTTCTCGCTCAGCCGGGTCGGCTCCGGCGCTCCTCTCCCGCCATTGGTCCGCCAGCGCTCTAACCCCGCCCCTTGCTCCCGGGCGTTTTCCAGAGCTATTTGGCTGCAGGGGATATTTAAACGCCCATCCGGGCAGCCAATCAGCACGGCGAGGCCAAGGCCGCCTCGGGCACAGGAAGGCGGGAGGTGTGCACCGAAGGAGAGGGGAGAGGAAAAAAGCCGCCCTTCCCAGCCTTTTAGGGGCAGTCTCTTCCCTCCCTTCCCCCCCCCCCCGCCATAACAACAAGGTTAATAACGAACCGATCAAGCTGCGTTGCAGGGCTGCAAAATCCTGCAAGGCCCATATTTTACTTCCAAGTATTAATGAGAAGCAGCAATGTTGAAACAATGGCTGCTGGTTCCCAGTTCCTTTGAGCGGCAGGTGTTTAAGGGGAGAACCTACACTCAGACGGAGGCAAGACAGCGGGCAAAAAAGACCGGCTAGTTTGAGTGAAGGGTTAGATCCTCTAGCCCCTCCCCCTCCAAACCGGCTCTCTCAACAGCCCCCCAGGGGATTTACACCCACACCCGCAGGGAAAGACAAGCGAAGGGTCCAAGGCCTCCGCACCCCAAAAACTTCGGCAGTGGGGGAGATGCGAGAGGTGAGGGAAAGCAAGTATTTCGCTTCGTGGTGAAGAAGCGAGAAATTTGAATCTGGTCCTGCGACAGGTTGGGGGGTGAAAGGGGGAGAGGGCGAGGTCGTCCCAAAAGTGAAAGGACGCAAGGGAGCTTTCCCCTTCTCTCCCCCCTCCCTCTGCTCTTTTTTCGAATCTCCCCCCACTCCATCCAGGTGTCGCTGAAGGGAAAGGGGAGAAGGGAGAAAGCAGTGTGTGCGTGTTCGTGTGTGTGTGTTTGAGAAAGAGGGAGAAAGAGGGAGAGGGAAGAGGAAGAGGAAGGCGAGGTGCTGGCCGGTAGTACTATGGAGAACCGAAAGCCTCGCAGAGCAAGCAAACTTACAAAAAGGGCATCTCTCTCTCTCTCACACACACACAGTGCTTTCTCCCCCTTCTCTCCCTTTCTCTCCAAAGGCAACTGGACCAAGGTGTGTGTGTGTGTGTGTGTGTGTGTGTGTGTGTATGTATGAGAGAGAGGGAGGGGGAGGGAGAGAGAGAGAGCAAGCAAACTTACAAAAAGTGGAGCTCTCTCTCTCTCTCTCTCTCTCTCTCTCTCTCTCTCTCTCACACACACACACACACACACACACACACACACACACACACACACAGTGCTTTCTCCCCCGTCTCTCGCTTTCTCTCCACAGGCGCCTGGACGAAGGGTGTGTGTGAGTTCAGCCATGCAGCAAAGCCTTATCGGGTTGTTATTAAACATGTCATTATGGGGCGGGCAGCCTCCTGAAAGGCTGTGAAGGGAAAAGCCCTCACTCTGATTCCCCCCCCCCCCGACTGCTTTTTTTTCTCCTCTCCTTGCGTGCACAGCAAAGCAACGTCCCAGTCTTCCTGCCTCCCAGGCTCTGCACCTCTTGGCCTGAGGATTGATTGCCCGGACGCGCGTTTAAATGTTCCACGCAGCCAAATAGCCCTAGAAAAGTGTCCCTCCGTGAAACGGCCGAGAGGAAGGGGCAAGGTTGGAGCGCTGGAGGACCAATGGCGGGAGAGGAGCGCTGGTGGAGAGCCAGCCAAGTAAGAATGCCCATGTTGGGTCAGTCGCGGTGGGGTGCCCGAGAAGAAGTGCCCCCCGCCCCCCTTGCTGCCGAAGTGCTGCTCAGCGCTCGGGGAAGGCCAGCGATTTCGCAGAAGCGTCCGCCCCTCGGGCGGGATCCTGCCCCTCCCAGGCGCGGGGATGGTAGTGGTGGTGGGGGGAGGTGGCAGCTTAAGGGAGGGGGAAGAGCAGGGCTTTATAAGGGGCGTCCCTTCTGGGGCTGGCACGTCTGGATTCCTGGAGACCACCATGGCGATTGGCCTGGTAGCTGTGGGGCTCCTCGCTTTCCTGCTCGGCTGTCCCGGAACCTTTGCCGAACCTCAAAATTCGGAGCTAGCCGCCAAGGTCAGATGTGGGGTGGCGGGCGGAGGATCCCAGCCTCCCTCGGGAAAAAACCCCCGCCACCAGCCTCTGTTGGTGGGAGACGGCGGACTGCGCTTCCTCGGGGTTGACCGCACCCGGTGCCGTCGCGCTGAGCGCCAGAGGCCCTGGGTCCCCGACGGACGGATGCCCAGCGTTTCCTCCTCCGTGCTCGGTCGCGACTTCGGCAGCCTGCCGCCGGGGCTGGTGCTCTCGCTCGCTGCGCAGATGACAGAGCGATCCGCCCGCGGGATGTCATCCCGGACGCGGTCTGGCAGGCGCCTCCACCGACGGACTTCGGGATGCGCCCCCTTTGCCAGCCCCACCCGGCGTGGGCAGCCTTGGGGGTCAGGCACGTGGGAGTAGCGGGTGTTTTCAGATCCCCCCGGAGAAAATGGAGCCAGAGTCTCTACCTGTTGGACAGCTGGGCTTGGCTAGCGCCGTGACTCGCTTCCCTCTCCCACTCTCCCGCTCTCCTTTAGTGCTCCCTGCTCGGCAGCTGAAAGAATGATCTCGCCTCCACCATGGAAATCAACAGCGTCAGTAACACGGGGCTGTTCAACGGCGTCTACAAAACAGCAGTCTCGGACTCTGGCCTGCCCATCCGGCCATCCCCGCTTGTGGGTGTCCAGCACCTGGGGGACCAGCCCGTCTTTGGCTTCACCGTCAACTGGAGCTTCGATGGTAGAGCCACTCACTATTTGGTGTGGAAGCAAATAGAACGGGAGGAGGGAATCTAGTGGATCTCCCCTTCCTTAGAACTACATCTTGCAGATTCTTTCACTGAATATCCCCCCCCCCTCCCACTCACCCACCTCGCATCAGCTGGAGCTACCCAAAGTTTTTCAAGCCCATAAATCTTTCCCTACCTAAAGTAGCATAGGTGAGCGGGGGTCCTTATGGGACATATATCCCCTCCCCAATTGGTACAACAGCTTCGACCTGCCAATGAGTCTCTGGCCGATTCCTCCCTCAGGCTCCACCGCCGTCTTTGCGGGCCAGTGTCTGGTGGACGAGAAAGGAAAGGAGCAGCTGAAGACAACTTGGCTACTGCGTGCGAAGATGGGATCCACAGCAGAGGATTGGGGGGCGACCCGGTAAGGAAAAACAGAGGCTGAACTGCTGTGCCCCCTAACTGGAAGGGCCCTGAGCACTTCTCTTTTTCTCTCTCCCCCCCCCCCAAAGTGGCTCTTGAAAAGATGACCAGGACGCCCCAATGGTTTGCCTCTCTGGGGGATGTTTTCGCACCCAGGGCTGAGCAGCTCCTGCGGGAGGGGCTGGAGACTCCGTTTCTGCCACTTCCCCCACAAAGAAATACAGTAAAGCTTTTGAGGAGGTTCCCCAGATCGTTCTCGCTGACAATTGTGCTTTCGGTGTCAACACAGTGTGGGTTGCCCACAGCTGGCAACACTCAGATTTGGCATTAATTGCTCTACTCAAATTGAAGAGCAGTAGTCAGCATAGCCCCATATTTGTATGGGGCAAAGAGGCCACCTGGGTGCCTTCCCTGAGCGCAAGGCCTGCAGCTCTTCTGCTCCCCTCCAAAGAGGCCACCTTCTCCGACACCTGGATGGAGCTGCTTCAAGGGAGGCCCCCAAAGACCAAGGAGAATTCGCCCAGCCTGCTTTGGGTCAGTATGGTTGGGGATCTACCAGACCCTGGCCACCCCCAAGAACCAGCAGCCTCCATTTCCTTTGCCCCCCCCCATTTTCATTATCACGTGAGTGGATGGAAGGAGGGAATAGGGTGGGGGTGGGGTGGGGTGGGGGACACACCAATCATGCCACCATGAATTTTGACATTTCCCTCCCTCCTGTTTCATTGTAGTGTTGGCACAGACACTTTCTACCGCACCAAATGAGAGGCTGAAGAGAGCAAGGCTTCCCCCTTTTTGCCTTGGGGAGCCTTGGGGAGTGACCCTTCCAACCTCACCCAACAGATACTCTTCTCCAATAAAATGTTTGCCTGAGCAGCATTGCCCCCCCCCATCTTTCAGAAGCTCCCTAGGCGCCAGTCTGCAGGTTTCCAGGAGAGGCTGGGTGGGACCCCCATCTGAAGGTGAGGGGGGGGGTTGGGGTCTCAAAGCTAACCCTGGGGTACAGAGTCTCTACTTGTCTCTCCATACTGCTCTGCACTTTAAACAGACATTTGGAAACTGCAGCTAATTCACTGAGGATCAGACTTATTATTTCATTAGGAAATTATTAAAGGGTTTTTGCAAAGGAGCCATGAATTAGGTTCACCCAGATCTAGTCCATGTTAATAAACTTTGCTTGATAGAGTCATTGTTAGAACTAGCAGTTAGCTAGCATCTATACCACACTTACCTAAAGAAGCCAAAGAGGCTGGCCACAAACGGTTCAGTTATAAGAATTGGATTTGCAATGAAGAATTTTGCAAGCGGGCCATTAGAGGAACAAGAAAAAGTAACATGGCATTTTGCTTAAAGGTCCAGAGGTAAAAAGCCCCACCTTAGCATGTCAAAAAACAACCCCAGAAATTATTTCATTTTAAATGCAGCAGCCCTTCGCGTAGCAGAGAAAGGAGAAATATTTCCCAGGGCGGAATGGGACGAGTGAACCCAGCTGCCTTTACGTCGGCTCATCCCAGGCCAGCCTTCTAGCTCCGCCCCTTTCTCCCCGGCGTTTTCCAGGGCTATTTGGCTGCAGAAGACGTTTAAACTAGCATCCGGGCTGCCAATTCGCACGGCAACGCGTAGGCCACCTCGGACACAGGAAGGTGAGCCAGGAGGGAAAGGGAAGAGGAAGAGGAGGAAGGCGAGGTGCTGGCCAGCAAAAGTATGGGGAACGGAGTCTCCAAACTTACAAAAAGGGGAGCCCTCCCTCCCTCTCTCTCTCTCACACACACACACACACACAAACATATGCATGCTTTCTCTCCCTTCTCTCTCTCTCTCTTTCTCTCCAAAGGCACCAGAACGAAGTACATGGGGGGAGGGGATGCAGCCATGCAGCGAAGCCTGATCGGATTGTTATTAACTATGTTATTATGGGGGCAGGAGTGGCGGCCCCCCCTTGACCGCTTACGAGTACATCAAAGCAAGCTCCCCCGTATCCTGCGCCCCATGCTCCTCACCCCTTGGCGCGGGGATCGGCTGCTCGGATGAGAGTTTAAGTGTCCCACGCAGCCAAATAGCCCTAGAAAACGGTCCCTCCGAGAAACAGCCGGGAGGAAGGGGCGAGGTTGGAGCGTTGGCGGACCAATGGCGGGAGAGGAGCGCTAGCGGAGAGCCAGCCAAGTAAGAATGCCCGTGTTAGGTCAGCGGCGGGGGCTTCCCGAGAAGAAGTGCCCCCACCCCCCTTGCTGCCCAAGTGTTGCTCAGCGCGCTCGCAGAAGGCCAGTGATTAGTCTGCCCCTCGGGTGGGGATCCTGCCCCTCCCAGTCTAGGGTGGTGGAGGGAGGCGGTACGAATGGGGCTTTATGAGGGGCGTCCCGTCTGGGATTGGCACGTCTAGATTTCTGGACACCACCATGGCGATTGGCCTGGCAGCTCTGGGGCTCTTCGCTTTCCTGCTTGGTTGCTCCGGAATCTTTGCCAAACCCCAAAACTCGGAGCGAGCTGCCAAAGTCAGATACGGGGTGGCGGACAGAGGATCCCAGCCTCCCCCGGGGAACCCCCCTTCGCCACCAGCTTCTGCTCGGCTGGGCGGCAGGAGCAGCTGGTGGGAGCCGGCGGGCTGCGCAGAGGCTGCCGCTTCCTTGGGGTTGAACGCACCCGGTGCCGCCGTGCTGAGCGCCAGAGACCCTGGGACCCCGACGGACGGACGCTCAGCGTTTTCTCCTCCGTGGTCGGCCGCTTCTTTGGCAACCTGCCGCGGTGGCTGGTGTCCTCGCTGCGCGCTGCGCAGATGACAGAGCGGGGTGTCGTCCCGTTCCGGACGCGGTCTGGCAGGCGCCTCCACCGACGGACTTTAGGATGCACCGCCTATGCCAGCCCCACCCAGCGTGGGCAGCCTTGGAGGTCGGGCAAGTGGGAGTAGAGGGTGTTTTCAGATCTCATGGAGAAAATGGATCCAAAGTCTACCTGTTGGACAGCCGGGCTTGGCTAGCGCTACGACCCGCTTTCCTCCCCCCTCCCGCTCTCCTTTAGTCCTCCCTGATCGGCACCTGGAAGAATGGCCTCAACTCCACCATGGATCAACAGCGTCGGTAACTAACACGGGGGTGTTCAGCGACCTCTACAAAACGGCAGTCTCGGCCTCCGACAATCCCATCGGGCCATCCCCGCTATAGGGCATCCAGCACGAGGGGCTCCAGCCCACCTTTGGCTTCACCGTCAACTGGAACTTCTGGCTCTGCCAGAAGGCCAGGATTGTGTTCTTGTGTGTCTGGGGGGGGGGAATCTCGCCTCTGATGGTAGAATATTCGGGGGGGGGGGCACAGCAGAAATCTTCTCCTGGAGCCCAGCAGCAGAAATTCTTTGGCCAATGGGATCCAAATTAGGCTGCTTCCACTGGACCGAGAGGGGCCAGCTAGTCCCATTGGGGTGAGGCAGTTCCTCAGATACTGCAAAGCTTCACAAGTGCACCCCCATGCTTATTATGGGATGTTACCCAGCTACATTTGTCTTCAGCAGATCAGGAACAAGCAATGAAATATAAAGAAATGCTAGTGTGTTTAGGACTTACATTACTTTTATTACAAAGTTAAAGTAATAGAACCTTTCAAAGCTGAATCCACCTCCCTCTCTCCATCTTCGTGAAAGGGAAGAAAGTCATTAGGTCTGAGACCCTTCCACGAATTTCATTTCTGCCTTGGACACAGTTTTTTTTCATCTGGTCATCACTTCTGTTGAGACTCTTCCTCCTGTAGCCCATTATGTCGCCATGGAGGTGCTCCAGCAAATAGGTAAACTGAGGGAAAACTGGAACAGATGCTCACAAGAGAAGATAAAAGCAAAGGAAAAGGGTGGGGTTTGGCTGGATCAGTGGTCAGGAAGGGAAAGGAAGGAGTGGATCTGCTGCCAGGAGGACCTGATTGGAGATGAACAAGGAAGAGGCAAAGAGCAGAGCTGCTGCTTCCCTGGGTCTTCTCCCCCGTAACTCCAGATGGAGCTGGGCAGAAACACCAGCAGGAACCAGGACATAGGTGGGAGGGAGTGAGGGAGAAAGAGACAGACAGAGAGACAGAGACAGAGATGCAGACAGATACAGAGACAGAGAGACACACAGAGACTCAGAGAGAGAGACAAAGAGACACAGACAAACACACACAGAGATGGAGAAGGAGACAGAGACAGAGAGAGCATAGGTGAGTTGAAGTCTCCAAGGCAGGTTGTCCAGGAGTCTGAAAGGAGCTCCTGGGGAACATCTCAGCCCCATCATATTTTAGTGCTTAGCAGGAACATCAAGGGTTTGGGGTGACCCCAAATCAACCTGATCTTTTTTGACACACTGTCTGATTTAGTTGATTATGGGAATGTGGCGGACATTACCTAATTTGACTTCAGCAAAACATTTGACAAATACCAATGAAATCCTGGTGAAGAAAAAGGCAACCTGTGGCTGGTCTGCACTACCATTAAATGCAGGAGGAAATGCGATCCTGGAGCTAACCCAGAATCCCAGGCCGAGTTCAGCACCTCGGAGCTCCCTCTGGACCTTCTCAGGGCGGCCTCTGCTGCCCTCCCCAGGCTGGCTTCCTTTCCCCAGAGCTTCACAGAGCTGCTGTGGGGCGCGCGGCAGGGCTGGTCGTCGCGAGCCTCCTCATTCCTATGGGTGCCGTCTGTGCCCCAGCAGGGGCAGAATTCGGAAGGGGCCAGGCGGGGACCCCGGGATCCGGCCGGAAGAGAGGCGAGAGGAGCAGAGCAGTAACGCCGGAACCCAGCTGGCGGCTGCTATGCCAATAAAACAAGGTTTCTGTTGCCCCAGAAACGTTTCCTCCCCCCCCCGGGAATCCAGGCTTTCAGGCAACCCCTCCCTCTGGGAGCTCTACGTCCAGCAGACCATGCAAAGCCCTCCGATAGGCTTTCTGCCGCTGAGTTGCGCGCCTTGTGGGGCGAACCGCAGAGACGCCTTGCCCGAGACGACCGCCGGCCTCGCGATCTGCAGTTGGACTCTTTCCCGGCGCCCCGAGGTGCTTTTTCTTGCTGATACCGTGAAGAGGGCAGAGTGAATGGGCGGGCAGGAAGGACAGGGATAGCCAGGCGTCTCAAACCAGCCCCCCCCCCACGCCGCAGCTCCTTCGTGGGATTCCCCGTCAAGCAGAAGAGCAGCGGCGGCCTGGATGCGTGGGTTCCCCGGCGGGGGTGGTGGTGGTGGTGGAAGCATTTCCAGGGCAACAGAAGCCTTGTTTTATGGGCATAGCAGCCGCCAGCTGGGTTCCGGCAATACTGCTCCGCTCCTCCCGCCTCTCTTCTGGCCGCCGGAACCCGGGGTCTCCGCCTGGCCCCTTCCCAATTCAGCCTCTGCCAGCCTGGGGAGGGCAGCAGAGACCGCCCTGAGAAGGTCCAGAGGGAGCTCCGAGGTGCTGAACTCGGCCTGGGATTCTTGGTTAGCTCCAGGATCGCATTTTCTCTTGCTCTTTCTTTCACCAAATGAAGTTGCCAGCAAGGGAGGACCAGGATGCCCGGATAATTGCCCCGTCCCCCTAATTTAATTATAAATATGTCAAACAGCACAAGGCCTAAAATGGAGTCCTGCAATTCCTCACTTCTTTTCAATCAGATATGGAGCCTTTAATAAATAAGCCCTTGTTGGATTTGAACTCTCCACAGGGTCTATCCATGTAATGCTAGTGTGGGCCAGCCACAGGTTGCTTTCTTCTTCTTCTTCACCAGGATTTCACTGATATTTGTCAAATGTTTTGCTGAAGTAAAGATACCTTATGTCCACCACATTCCCATAATCAACTAAATCAGACAGAGTGTCAAAAAATATCAGGTTGATTTAGGGTCACCCCAAACCCTTGATGCTCCTACTAAGCACTAATATATGATGGGTCTGAGATGGCCCCCAGGAGCTCCTTTGAGACTCCTGGACAACCTGCCTTGGAGACTTCAACTCATCCATGCTCTCTCTGTCTCTGTCTCTGTCTCTCCCTCCCTCCCTCTTGTCTTCTGGTTCCTGCTGGTGATTCTGCCCAGTTCCATCTGGAGTCTTGGGGGAGAAGACCCAGGGAAGCAGCAGCTCTGCTCTTTGCCTCTTTCTTGTTCACCTGCAACCAAGTCCTGCTGGCAGCAGACCCACTCCTTCCTTTCCCTTCCTTGGACCATTGATCCAGCCAACCCCCCCCCCTTTTCCTTTGCTTTTATCTTCTCTTGTGCGCATCTGTTCCAGTTTTGCCTCAGATTACCCATTTGCTGGTGCACCTCCCTGGTGACAGAATGGGCTACGAGAGGAAACGGGAGGAAGAGCCTCATCATCAGATGAAAAATAAAATGTGTCCAAGGCAGAAATAAAATTTGAGGAAGGGTCTCAGACCTAAGGACTTTCTTCCCTTTCAAAAAGATGAAGAGGATTCAGCCTTGCAAGGTTCTGTTACTGTAAATTTGTAATAAAAGTAATATAAGTCCTAAACGTATCAGAATTTCCTGAGATTTCATCACCTGTTCCTGATCTGCTGAACAGAGATGCAGCTGGGTAATACCCCATAATAAGCATGGGGGTGCACTTGTGAAGCTTTGGGGTATCTGAGGAACTGCCTCACCCCAGTGGGACTAGCTGGCCCCTCTCCTTCCATGGAAGCAGCCTAATTTGGATCCCATTGGCCAAAGAATTTCTGCTGCTGGGCTCCAGAGAAAAGCATTTTCTGCTGTGCCCCCCCCCCCGAATATTCTACCACCAGAGGTGAGAATCCTCCACCCCCACATACACACATACACACAAACCTGGTCTTCTGGAAGAGCCTGAAAACCTGGCTCAGCTGCTCAGCCTGGGGGCCCGACCGGATGGGGTACCTTGGGGGTGTCTCATTAGGTAGAGAAGATTCTTTCCCCCAGGCTGTCCATCACCTTGGGTCTTAACTTTTAATCTCTTTATTCAAGTTTGAATTGTTTTTAGCACTTTTTAACTTTTATTAAAATGTAAGCCGCCCAGAGTTGCTTTATTAGTGAGATGGGTGGCATAAAAAGGTATTAAAATAAAATAAGCTGTCCACTTCTGGGGTTGTTTTTTGACATGCTAAGGTGGAGTTTTTCCCCCCTCTGGATCTTTAAGCAAAATGCCACATTACTTTTTCTTGTTCCTCTAATGGCCCCACTTGCAAAATTCTTGATTGCAAATCCAATTATTATAAGTGAACCGTTTGTAGCCAGTCTCTTTGGCTTCTTCAGGTAAGTGTCGAAATAGGTTCTAGCTAACTGCTGGTTCTAACAAAGACTCTGTCAAGCAAAGCTTAGGCCAAGTGATTGGGATTGACCAGGTCTGGGTGAAGCTAATTCATGGCTCATTTGCAAACTCCTTTAATAATTTCCTAATAAATTAATAAGTCAGATCCTCAGTGGATTGGCTGCAGGTTCCCAAAGTTTTCAAGGGCAAAGGCTATGTAAAGAGACTCTACCCCAGAGCTGGCTTTGAGGGCTCCCCCACCCCCACCTCCAGATGGGGGTCCTACTCAGCCTGTCCTGGAAACGTACAGACTGGCACCCGGGAGCTTCTGAAAGACCAGGGAGCCCGAGGCTGCTCAGGGAAACATTTTATTGGAGAAGAGCATCTGATGGGTGAGGTTGGGGGGGGGGTCACCCCCCATGACACAAACGCGGAAGCCTTACTCTCTTCACCCTCTCACTTGCTGCGGTAGAAGGTGCTGGCTCCAACGCTACAATGAAGCAGGAGGGACAGAAATGTCAAAATTCAGGGTGGCGTGATTGGTGTCCCTTCCCCAGGCTGAACATCACCCCTCCCCCCGCGCGCGCATCATTCCACGTGACAAAGAAAAGGGGGGACAAAGGAAATGGATGCTTGTGGTTCTGGGGGATGGAGAGGGCTGGGTAGGTCCCCAGCCACGCAAGGCAGGCCACGTCTGATGAGGAGAAGGACATTGACCCAAAGCAGGCTGGGCGGAGTCTCCTTGGTCTTTGGGGGCCTCCCTTGAAGCAGCTCCATCCAGGTGTCCGAGAAGGTGGCCTCTTTGGAGGGGAGCAGCAGAGCTGCAGGCCTTGCGCTCAGGGAAGGCACCCAGGTGGCCTCTTTGCCCCATAAAAATATGGAGGCTGTACTGGGCTACTGCTCTCCAATTTGAGTAGAGCAATTAATGCCAAATCTGAGTGTTGCCAGCTGTGGGCAACCCAGACTGTGTTGCCAGGCAAACCACACTTGTCAGTGAGAATGACCTGGGGAAGCTGCTCAAAAGCATTGCTGCCTTTCTTTGTGGGGGAAGTGGCAGAAACGGAGTCTCCAGCGTCTCCCACAGGAGCTGCTCAGCCCTGGGTGCAGAAACATCCCGTGGGGCATCCTTTCAAGAGCCACTTTGGGAGGGGAGGAGGAAGAGAGAGAAAAAGAGGTGGCCAGAGCCCTTCCAGTTAGGGGGCAGAGCAGTTCAGCCCGTGTTTTCTTACCTGGCCGCGGATTCCACCTCTCTCTGCAGTAGCCAGGTTGTCTTCAGCTGTTCCATTCCCTTCTTGTTCACCAGATAGGGGCCTGAAACTCACTGGGAGATCAAAGTTGTACCAATTAGGGGGGGGATATATTTCCTATAAAGACCCCCAATCACCGATGCTACTTTAAGTTGGGAACGTTTGACGGGCTCCAAAATTTTGCCAACCACAGCTAATGGGGGCGGGGAGGACATTCAGTGAAAGAAGCAGATCTAAGGAAGGGGACATCCACTAGATTCCCCCCTCCCGTTCTATTTGCTTCCACACCAAATAGTGAGTGGCTCTACCAGAGAGGTTAAAGATGATGGTGAAGCCAAAGACAGGCCCGGGATCCTGGCGCTGGATGATCTGCAGCAGGGATGGCCGGATGGGATTGTCGGAGGCCGAGATTGCCGTTTCGTAGACGCCGCTGGACATTCCCTTGTTACTGACGCTGTTGGTCTCCGTGGTGGAGTTGAGGTCATTCTTCCAGGTGCCGATCAGGGAGGACTAAAGGAGAGCGGGAGAGGGGAGGAAAGCGAGTCATGGCGCTAGCCAAGCTCACCTGTCCAACAGGTAGAGATTCTGGCTCCATTTTCTCCGGAGGAGCTGAAAACCGCCAAGGCTGCCCACGCCGGGTGAGGCTGGCAAAGGCAGCCCATCCCAAAATCCATCGGTCGAGGCGCCTGCCAGACCGCGTGCGGGAGGACACCTCGCGGGCAGATCGCTCTGTTCTCTGCGCAGCGACAGAGAGCACCAGCCCCGGCGGCAGGTTGCCTGAGTCGCGGCCGAGCACGGAGGAGGAAACGCTGGGCGTCCGTCCGTCGGGGACCCAGGGCCTCTGGCGCTCAGCGCGACGGCACCGGGTGCGATCAACCCCGAGGAAACGGCACCCTCTGCGCAACCCGCCGGCTCCCACCAGCTGCTCCTGCAGCCCACCCGAGCAGAGGCTGGTGGCGGAGGGTTTTTCCCGGGGGAGGCTGGGACCCTCTGCCCGCCACCCCGCATCTGACCTTGGAGGCTGGCTCCGAGTTTTGAGGTTCGGCAAAATTTCCGTGGCAGAGTAGAAAAGCGAGGAGCCCCAGAGCTGCAAGGCCTATCGCCATGGTGGTGTCCAGGAATCCAGACGTGCCAATCCCAGGCGGGACGCCCCTTATAAAGCCCCGCTCGCACCGCTTCCCTCCACAGCCCTCGACCGGGAGGGGCCGACGGATCCCCGCCCGAAGGGCGGACACCTCTGCGAAATCGCTGACCTTCTGAGAGCGCTGAGCAGCACTTCGGCAGCAAAGGGGGCGGGGGCACTTCTCGGGAAGCCCACCGCCGCTGCCCCAACACGGGCACTCTCCGCCAGCGCTCCTCTCCCTGACCCTTCCTCCCGGGACACTTTTCTAGGGCTATTTGGCTGCCTGGGACATCTAAACTCTCATCCGGGCAGCCAATCCCCACGCCAAGGGGTGGGGAGCCTGGGGTACAGGATAGGGGGGGGGCTTGTCTTGATGTACAAGTAAGGAGAGGAGAAAAAAAGCGGTCGAGGAGGGTCTGCCACCCGTCCCCGTAATGACATGGTTAATAAGAATCCGATCAGCCTTCGCTGCATGGCTGCACACCCTCCCTCCCCGTACTTCGTCCTGGTGCCTTTGGAGAGAAAGAGAGAGACGGGAGAGAACGCATTTGTGTGTGTGTGTGTGTGTGTGTGTGTGTGTGTGTGTAAGAGAGAGAAAGAGAGAAAGCGTTTGTTTGTGTGTGTGTGTGTGTGTGTGTAAGAGAGAGGGGGAGAAAGCATTTGTGTGTGTGTGTTTGTGTCTGAGGGAGAGAGAGAGAGATGGGGAAGGAGGGAGGGAGACCTCCCCTTTTGGTATGTTTGCTTGCTCTGTCTGCGAGGCCCTCCGTTCCCCCACTTTTGCTGTCCACCATCTCGCCTTCCTCCTCTTCCTCTTCCCTTTCCCTTCTGTCTGCCTTCCTGTGCCCGAGATGGCCTACGCGTTCGTTCGGCGTGCGAATTGGCAGCCCACGCACGTGAAGGCAGCCGGGTTCAGCGGTTCCATTCCGGCCCGGGAAATATTTCTCCGTTTCTGGCGAAATCCGCCGCTCTGCAGGGCGAAGGGCGGGGCTGCTGCGCTCAGAGAATCCGCTCCCCGCTAAGCCCGGCTCCCCATCCCCGGTTCCGTTGGCCGCGTTACTCCTCGCCCTTCCCGAAGGGAGACAAATCCCCCCCCCCCCAGTGGCTGCAGTCCACCTGGGAGAGGAGGCGGAGGGGGGCTGGCCATTTCTCCGAAAACCCCCAGAGCGAGCGAAGAACAGAATGCAAAGCGCCCCCTGAAGAAAGTTGGCCTGGAAGCGGGAGGTGAGAAAGCGGAGAGATTCCCTCCCCATCAGGTGTGTTGGTTGAGGGTCTCAGCCTCCCCTCCTCTTAACGTCGGAATCCGCAGCAGCCTCGCTTTAAACAAGGCTTTTTCCTTTGGTTTGACCCTCTTCTCTCGCTTGCTCAAGACGTCCCAGGAATCGGCTCCTTCCTATTTCTGACCCTCAACCCCCAAAAGTAGAAAGATCTCTCCATTGTTTCTTTCTTGCCCAGCAGGCACCCAACGATCCTTGGTGGCTCCTCTCCACAGCGTTGTTCCAGGAGCCACCAAGAACACCAGACTGCTGTCTCCCTCCCCCCCCCCATCTTGCCTCTGCCCTCTGGCCAGGTTCTGTTGGGGCAGGCTGGACAGAGGGAGCAGAGCAGGAAGGCGAGGAACCCAGCCATCTCCCTCCCTCCCTCCGCCTTCTCTCCTCTAAACATGCCTGGTTCTGGATCTCTGAGGATTTAGCCAAGCCCCCCCCCTCCCCATCATCTTGGCACTCTGGGTTTGGGTTTGACAATAAGGCCTTTTGTAGATTCCATTAAAAAAATACATTTTCCAGGTCATTCTCTTGATTTATCCTTTGTATATTTTTTTTTAGCTTTTAAAACTTCACCAAGGTTGTTTTGAATAGCACCCAGAGTCACTTACAGTGAGATGGGCAGTGTCTAAATTTAATAAATAAAATATCCAGTAAGACATCCTTTTCCAAATCTGTCATCAGTAGTTCCACATTCTCTATTGCCGTTTCTCCTTCCACTGTGAGTTGGGTATCACAATGAAAGAATAAGCAGCTATACAATTGCCAGTTTGGGATGTACTTATAAAGGCTTTGTTTGCCAGGCTGCCAAGTCAGACCCGGTTCTTTTGGTTCTTCTCCGAAGCCAGAACTCGCCCACCTCCTCCGGGCATGAAGGAGGGAAGAAGAATCCCTGGCATCAGCAGCGGGCCACAATACAGGGCACAGTGGCTCCTTTCTCTAAAATACAGAATAGGCCATCCAGCAGGGGAAGAATCCAAAAGGAAGGATCTCTGGACCCAAAAGCCTCCTGGGGGGGGGGAGAGGACCCCCTGGGCAGCTGGCTGAAGACCCCACACACATAAGAGGGAAGGCAAAAGACCATTGAGGTCTCCTAATTGGCTTTATTTTGGACAAGGTACAGTAACTGATAGAGGAAGAGGCAGTGTGTAAAGTTCTCTTAAAAGCCCCCCACCACAGCATTGAAGATGGGGGGAAGGTTCGTTAAGGCCGTGGTTGGGTGCCCCTTTTTTTAAGACTCCAGAATCTTTGGGCTGGGCAGAGGTGGGGGAAGGCAGAGAGGGCGGTGAAACAAAGGTGAGTGTGTGGAAGAACAGAACTGTGAACATTGTGGGTGTTTCATGGGGGAGAGAAGAGTCTTACCCCCTGGCTGTCCATCACCTTGGATCTTAACTTTTAACCTCTTTATTGTAGTTTCAATTCTTTTTAGTACTTTTTAACTTTTATTTCATTGTAAGCCATCCAGAGTTGCTTTGTTAGTGAGATGGGTGACGTAAAACATTATTAAAATAAAATAAGCTCTCCACTTCTGGGGCTGTTTTTTGACATGCTAAGGTAGAGTTCCCTCCCCCCCTCTGAATCTTTAACCAAAATACCACATTACTTTTTCTTGTTCCTCTAATGGCCCCACTTGCAAAATTCTTGATTGCAAATCCAATTATTATAACTGAACCGTTTGTAGCCAGTCTCTTTGGCTTCTTCAGGTAAGTGTCGAAATAGGTTCTAGCTAACTGCTGGTTCTAACAAAGACTCTGTCAAGCAAAGCTTAGGCCAAGTGATTGGGATTGACCAGGTCTGGGTGAAGCTAATTCATGGCTCATTTGCAAACTCCTTTAATAATTTCCTAATAAATTAATAAGTCAGATCCTCAGTGGATTGGCTGCAGGTTCCCAAAGTTTTCAAGGGCAAAGGCTATGTAAAGAGACTCTACCCCAGAGCTGGCTTTGAGGGCTCCCCCACCCCCACCTCCAGATGGGGGTCCTACTCAGCCTGTCCTGGAAACGTACAGACTGGCACCCGGGAGCTTCTGAAAGACCAGGGAGCCCGAGGCTGCTCAGGGAAACATTTTATTGGAGAAGAGCATCTGATGGGTGAGGTTGGGGGGGGTCACCCCCCATGACACAAACGCGGAAGCCTTACTCTCTTCACCCTCTCACTTGCTGCGGTAGAAGGTGCTGGCTCCAACGCTACAATGAAGCAGGAGGGACAGAAATGTCAAAATTCAGGGTGGCGTGATTGGTGTCCCTTCCCCAGGCTGAACATCACCCCTCCCCCCGCGCGCGCGCATCATTCCACGTGACAAAGAAAAGGGGGGACAAAGGAAATGGATGCTTGTGGTTCTGGGGGATGGAGAGGGCTGGGTAGGTCCCCAGCCACGCAAGGCAGGCCACGTCTGATGAGGGGAAGGACATTGACCCAAAGCAGGCTGGGTGGAGTCTCCTTGGTCTTTGGGGGCCTCCCTTGAAGCAGCTCCATCCAGGTGTCCTAGAAGGTGGCCTCTTTGGAGGGGAGCAGCAGAGCTGCAGGCCTTGCGCTCAGGGAAGGCACCCAGGTGGCCTCTTTGCCCCATAAAAATATGGAGGCTGTACTGGGCTACTGCTCTCCAATTTGAGTAGAGCAATTAATGCCAAATCTGAGTGTTGCCAGCTGTGGGCAACCCAGACTCTGTTGCCAGGCAAACCACACTTGTCAGTGAGAATGACCTGGGGAACCTGCTCAAAAGCATTGCTGCCTTTCTTTGTGGGGGAAGTGGCAGAAATGGAGTCTCCAGCGTCTCCCACAGGAGCTGCTCAGCCCTAGGTGCAGAAACATCCCGTGGGGCATCCTTTCAAGAGCCACTTTGGGAGGGGAGGAGGAAGAGAGAGAAAAAGAGGTGGCCAGAGCCCTTCCAGTTAGGGGGCAGAGCAGTTCAGCCCGTGTTTTCTTACCTGGGCGCCCCCCAATCTTCTGGCGCGGATTCCACCTCCCTCTGCAGTAGCCAGGTTGTCTTCAGCTGTTCCATTCCCTTCTTGTTCACCAGATAGTGGCCTGAAACTCGCTGGGAGGTCAAAGTTGTACCAATTAGGGGGGGATATATTTCCTATAAAGACCCCCACTCATCGATGCTACTTTAGGTTGGGAACGTTTGACGGGCTCCAGAATTTTGCCAACCACAGCTAATGGGGGCGGGGAGGACATTCAGTGAAAGAAGCAGATCTAAGGAAGGGGACATCCACTAGATTCCCCCCTCCCGTTCTATTTGCTTCCACACCAAATAGTGAGTGGCTCTACCAGAGAGGTTAAAGATGATGGTGAAGCCAAAGACAGGCCCGGGATCCTGGCGCTGGATGATCTGCAGCAGGGATGGCCGGATGGGATTGTCGGAGGCCGAGACTGCCATTTCGTAGACGCCGCTGGACATCCCCTTGTTACTGACGCTGTTGGTCTCCGTGGTGGAGTTGAGGTCATTCTTCCAGGTGCCGATCAGGGAGGACTAAAGGAGAGCGGGAGAGGGGAGGAAAGTGAGTCACGGCGCTAGCCAAGCTCACCTGTCCAACAGGTAGAGACTCTGTCTCCATTTTCTCCAGAGGATCTGAAAACCCCCAAGGCTACCCACGCCGGGTGGGGCTGGCAAAGGCAGCCCATCCCAAAATCCATCGGTCGAGGCGCCTGCCAGACCGCGTGCGGGACGAAACCTCGCGGGCAGATCGCTCTGTTCTCTGCGCAGCGACAGAGAACACCAGCCCCGGCGGCAGGTTGCCTGAGTCGCGGCCGAGCACGGAGGAGGAAACGCTGGGCGTCCGTCCGTTGGGGACCCAGGGCCTCTGGCGCTCAGCGCGACGGCACCGGGTGCGATCAACCCCGAGGAAACGGCACTCTCTGCGCAACCCGCCAGCTCCCACCAGCTGCTCCTGCCGCCCACCCGAGCAGAGGCTGGTGGCGGAGGGTTTTTCCCGGGGGAGGCTGGGACCCTCTGCCCGCCACCCCGCATCTGACCTTGGAGGCTGGCTCCGAGTTTTGAGGTTCGGCAAAATTTCCGTGGCAGAGTAGAAAAGCGAGGAGCCCCAGAGCTGCAAGGCCTATTGCCATGGTGGTGTCCAGGAATCCAGACGTGCCAATCCCAGGCGGGACGCCCCTTATAAAGCCCCGCTCGCACCGCTTCCCTCCACAGCCCTCGACCGGGAGGGGCCGACGGATCCCCGCCCGAGGGGCCAAATCGCTGGCCTTCTGAGAGCGCTGAGCAGCACTTAATAATAATAATAATAATAGTAAAGTTGGAAGGGACCTTGGAGGTCATCTAGTCCAACCCACTTCTCGGGAAGCCCACCGCCGCTGCCCCAACACGGGCACTCTCCGCCAGCGCTCCTCTCCCTGACCCTTCCTCCCGGGACACTTTTCTAGGGCTATTTGGCTGCCTGGGACATCTAAACTCTCATCCGGGCAGCCAACCCACGCCAAGGGGTGGGGAGCCTGGGGTACAGGATACGGGGGAGCTTGCCTTGATGTACAAGTAAGGAGAGGAGAAAAAAAGCGGTCGAGGAGGGTCTGCCACCCCGGTCTCCATAATGACATGGTTAATAACAATCCGATCAGCCTTGGCTGCATGGCTACACACCCTCCCTCCCCGTACTTCGTCCTGGTGCCTTTGGTTAGAAAGAGAGAGACGGGAGGGAACGCATTTGTGTGTGTGTGTGTGTGTGTGTGTGTGTGTGTGTGTGTGTTTGTGTGTAAGAGAGAGGGAGAGAAAGCATTTGTGTGTGTGTGTTTGTGTGTGAGGGAGAGAGAGAGAGAGAGAGAGAGAGAGAGATGGGGAAGGAGGGAGGGAGACCTCCCCTTTTGGTACGTTTGCTTGTTCTGTCTGCGAAACCCACCGTTCCCCCCACTTTTGCTGTCCACCATCTCGCCTTCCTCCTCTTCCTCTTCCCTTTCCCTTCTGTCTGCCTTCCTGTGCCCGAGATGGCCTACGCGTTCGTTTGGCGTGCGAATTGGCAGCCCAGGCTCGTGAAGGCAGCCGGGTTAAGCGGTTCCATTCCGGCCCGGGAAATATTTCTCCGTTTCTGGCGAAATCCGCCGCTCTGCAGGGCGAAGGGCGGGGCTGCTGCGCTCAGAGAATCCGCTCCCCGCTAAGCCCGGCTCCCCATCCCCGGTTCCGTTGGCCGCGTTACTCCTCGCCCTTCCCGAAGGGAGACAAATCCCCCCCGCCCCCCCGCAGTGGCTGCAGTCCACCTGGGAGAGGAGGCGGAGGGGGGCTGGCCATTTCTCCGAAAACCCCCAGAGCGAGCGAAGAATAGAATGCAAAGCGCCCCCTGAAGAAAGTTGGCCTGGAAGCGGGAGGTGAGAAAGCGGAGAGATTCCCTCCCCATCAGGTGTGTTGGTTGAGGGTCTCAGCCTCCCCTCCTCTTAACGTCGGAATCCGCAGCAGCCTCGCTTTAAACAAGGCTTTTTCCCTTTCGGTTGACCCTCTTCTCTCGCTTGCTCAAGACGTCCCAGGAATCGGTTCCTTCCTATTTCTGACCCTCAACCCCCAAAAGTAGAAAGATCTCTCCATTGTTTCTTTCTTGCCCAGCAGGCACCCAACGATCCTTGGTGGCTCCTCTCCACAGCGTTGTTCCAGGAGCCACCAAGAACACCAGACTGCTGTCTCCCTCCCCCCCCCCATCTTGCCTCTGCCCTCTGGCCAGGTTCTGTTGGGGCAGGCTGGACAGAGGGAGCAGAGCAGGAAGGCGAGGAACCCAGCCATCTCCCTCCCTCCCTCCCTCCGCCTTCTCTCCTCTAAACATGCCTGGTTCTGGATCTCTGAGGATTTAGCCAAGCCCCCCCCCCCTCCCCATCATCTTGGCACTCTGGGTTTGGGTTTGACAATAAGGCCTTTTGTAGATTCCATTAAAAAAATACATTTTCCAGGTCATTCTCTTGATTTATCCTTTGTATTTTCATTTTAGCTTTTAAAACTTCACCAAGGTTGTTTTGAATAGCACCCAGAGTCACTTACAGTGAGATGGGCAGTGTCTAAATTTAATAAATAAAATATCCAGTAAGACATCCTTTTCCAAATCTGTCATCAGTAGTTCCACATTCTCTATTGCCGTTTCTCCTTCCACTGTGAGTTGGGTGTCACAATGAAAGAATAAGCAGCTATACAATTGCCAGTTTGGGATGTACTTATAAAGGTTTTGTTTGCCAGGCTGCCAAGTCAGACCCGGTTCTTCTGGTTCTTCTCCGAAGCCAGAACTCGCCCACCTCCTCCGGGCATGAAGGAGGGAAGAAGAATCCCTGGCATCAGCAGCGGGCCACAATACAGGGCACAGTGGCTCCTTTCTCTAAAATACAGAATAGACCATCCAGCAGGGGAAGAATCCAAAAGGAAGGATCTCTGGACCCAAAAGCCTCCTGGGGGGGGGGAGAGGACCCCCTGGGCAGCTGGCTGAAGACCCCACACACATAAGAGGGAAGGCAAAAGACCATTGAGGTCTCCTAATTGGCTTTATTTTGGACAAGGTACAGTAACTGATAGAGGAAGAGGCAGTGTGTAAAGTTCTCTTAAAAGCCCCCCACCACAGCATTGAAGATGGGGGGAAGGTTCGTTAAGGCCGTGGTTGGGTGCCCCTTTTTTTAAGACTCCAGAATCTTTGGGCTGGGCAGAGGTGGGGGAAGGCAGAGAGGGCGGTGAAACAAAGGTGAGTGTGTGGAAGAACAGAACTGTGAACATTGTGGGTGTTTCATGGGGGAGAGAAGAGTCTTACCCCCTGGCTGTCCATCACCTTGGATCTTAACTTTTAACCTCTTTATTCTAGTTTCAATTCTTTTTAGTACTTTTTAATTTTTATTTCATTGTAAGCCATCCAGAGTTGCTTTGTTAGTGAGATGGGTGATGTAAAACATTATTTTACCCAGAGCTAGCTTTGAGCCCCCACTCCAGATGGGGGTCCTATCCAGCCTCTCTTGGAAACTTTCAGTCTGGTACCCAGGGAGCTTCTGAAAGACCAGCGAGGCCGATGCCGCTCAGGCAAACATTTCATTGGAGAAGAGCATCTGATGGGAGCAGTAGGAAGGGTCAACTCCCCGCCATGGTCCCCAAGGCAGAAATGGGGAAGACTTTCTCTCTTCACCTTCACTAGGTGCGGTAGAAGGTGTCCTTGGCAATGCTACAATGAAACAGGAGGGAGGAAAATGGCAAAATTCACGGTGGCATGATTGGTGTCCCCCCCCATTAGCATCCCACCCCCCACCCCATTCCCTTTTTCCACCCACTCACCTGAGAATGAAAACGGGGGGGGGGGGCGGTCAAAACCAGATAGATCCCCAGCCATGCATTGCAACCCAGACTATGGTGCCACCCAAACCACACTTGTCAGTGAGAACGGTCTGGGGAACCTAGTTGAAAGCTTTGCTGTGTTTCTTTGTGGGGGAAGTAGCAGAAACAGAGTCTCCAGCCTCCCCTGCAGGAGCTGCTCAGCCCTGGGTGTGAAAACATCCCCCAGAGAGGCAAACCATTGGGGCATCCTTTCAAGAGCCATGGGGTGGGAGAAGAGAGAGAAAAAGAGAGGTGCCCAAGGCTCTTCCAGTTAGGGGGCACATCATTTCAGCCCCTGCGTTTCCTTACCTGGTCGCCCCCCAATCCTCTGCTGTAGATCCCACCTCCCCACTCAGCAAGCCAGGCTGTCTTCAGCTGCTCCTCTCCATTCTTGTCCACCAGAGACTGGCCCACCAAGAGGGAGGTGGATTCTTAGGGAGGAATCGGCCAGAGACTCCCTGGCAGGTCAAAGTTGTTGTACCAATTGGGGGGGGGGAATATATTTCCCATAAAGTCCCCAAAAAGCCCAGAGCGAGTGAAGAACAGAATGCAAAGCAGTCTCCTGAAGAAAATCCGCCTAGGAAGCTGGAGGTGAGAAAGCGGAGAGATTCCCTCTCCAAAGACTAGGACCACACTGCTTAACAATGGCAATTCCCAGTTGTGGTCATTAGGCCAGGACAGCCCTGTTGGAAAGGCAGGACTTCGTGGTTCTGCTCTGCCACACACTCACCTTTGCTTCACCATCCTCTCTGTCTTCCCCCATCTCTGCCCAGCCCAAAGATTCTGGAGCCTTAAAAAAAGAGGCACCCAACCACGGCCTTAATTAACCTCCCCCCCATCTTCAATGCAGAGGTGGGGGGCTTTTAAGAGGACTTTACACACCGCCTCTTCCTCTATCAAATGCTGTAACCGTAAAAGAAGATAATTATGTGAGACTGCTAAAACAAATAAAATTGGATTTGAAAAAGTGGAAGAACCTCCAACTTTCAATGTTGGGGAGAATAGCAACAGTGAAAATGAATATCCTACCAAAAATAGTCTTTTTATTTCAAAGGATCCCTGTAAGGCTGGGAAAAGCCTTTTTTGATGAACTGAATACAATAATATTGAAATTTATCTGGCAAGAAAAAAAAAAGCTAGAATATAAGTGAACATGCTACAAGAAGCAAAAGACAGTGGAGGACTTGGACTGCCGGACTGGAGGTTATATTACCAAGCAACCATTCTAACATGACTTAAAGAATGGATAATGCTTAGAGATAAAAGACTGTACCTAGAGGGGTATGACCTGCATATAGGTTGGCATGCCTTTCTGTGGTATGGAAAGAATAAAACATATAGATAGTTTGAAAACCATTTTATAAGAAATGCACTTCTTTCAGAATGGGAAAGAATAAAAGAGAAAAATTACATTAAGATACCTGAATGGCTTTCAACAATAGAAGTTTTTGCTTTCCTAAATTTAATTAACTATGATAAAGTTGTTACTTATAAAGATATTTTGGACAATGAAAACAAGAATTACAAGAACAAGGTATTGATTTAGCATGATAGCCATATCTGCAAATTCAAACGAGATATGAAAAAGATGTTCAAACAACGGGATTTTATAAAGAACAGACAGACTTTGATCAGATACTGTTGAATGAAAAGTTGATCAAGAAACTGTAGATTCCTATTAAACTTAAAGATGGAGGAAGAACAAATAAAAGACACAATGATAATATGGGCAAAGAATTTTGGACATACTATAGAATTAGAAGAGCGGCAAAAATTATTGGAAAGAAATATTAAATTAATTAAAACAGTGCTATATAAAGAAAACTTATACAAAATATTTTATAGATGGCATATGACACCAGTGAGATTAGCGAAAATGTTTTAAAATACTTCAAACAATTGTTGGACATGCAAACAAAGGCCAGGCACTTATTACCACATTTGGTGGACATGCCCTAAAGCAAAAAGGTATTGGGCTGAAATGTTGGAGTCATTGGGTTATCTGGCCTGTTAGGCTGAGTCACCAGCTGCAGTAGGCCAAGGTATGCGGAAGTCAGAAGAGAAAATAGATTGGCGTAAACAAGTTTGTGCCGTGCGGTGCAAGGGAATGTTGTTTTGGTGTTTGTTAGTGCCGTGTGCAACAGCTGTATAGTAGCGTGTGCAAAACAAAGTTAGCACGTGTAATATGCTAATATGCTGTGTCATGACAAATGTGGTTGGTGTAAGGTGGTCACCAGGTGCCTATAAACCCGCCTTCTGATAACACAATAAAAGGGATGCTTCGTCTTTGTTCGAGGCTCCCATCCCGAGGAAACCACGTGTACGTGTCTGTTCTTCAACACCCATGGGAGACCGCTGGGCGCGTGAAAACCCGAAAATGGTGACCCCGACGTGATTCAAGTTTCTGAGCACGTCTCTGGGTACTGCAACTCAGGGCCGGTCGTCAGCTAGACGAAGTACCCTCCCAAAACTGCAACTCAGGGCCAGTCAGCTAGACGAAGCACCCTCCCAAAACTGCAACTCAGGGCCGGTCGTCAGGATAGACGAAGCACCCTCCCAAAATATTACATCTCTTGGTATCCTCTTACTTACTCAGCGGAAGAGCTCACTGCAACTCAGGGCCGGTCGTCAGAGCTAGACGAAGCACCCTCCCAAAACCGTGAGTATGGGGACAGAATTCTCTAAGCCTCAGGTTGCGCACCTCCCAGAACTTAGGGAATTGACCAAGTCATCAATAATTAAATCAGGAAAAACAATGGGAAAGATTTGCTGCTTCCCACTAAAAGGGATTTGATCCTCCTCTTAAAATATGTATATCTAAATTGCCTTGCATAGCCCGAAGGAGGATCCCTAAAAATGTCTGTGTGGGTTAAATTAGGAAAGTATTTTCATGAATGACCAGGATGTGTAAAACTGTGACTGTTAACTGTTTCAAATCCAAAGGAAAAAGAATTTTAAAGTCTGCTAGAAATTCTGCTTAAAATAAGCCACAAAAAGGAAGAACCTCACTCTGTCTGGCCAACAAACAGAGTGAAGAAAAAGAATTGTGTTTGTTTGTTTGTATTCCTCCTTCTCTCTGTGTGTCTATCTACAAGAGCCTTTCGAAACTCAAGTCTGCTTGTGTGGGGAAATAACTTTTTAAAGTTACTTTTCATATCCTAAAACTTACTGGTGAAACTACTATGAAACTTTTCTGAAACAAATAAGCATTTTCTAATCTCTAAAACGATGTGGTCTATTTTAGAATAAATGTTCTCCTACCCTTGGCAAGTTGCACACCTTAAAATATTAGGCTTTTAAAATTATTTGGAGTTTTCAGCATTTTCAAACTGCCTGCAAACTACCCCCCTTCCAATTCTTTTCCTGCTCTTTGTTCTCCAAACCTTTTGTCTGCCTCTCCTGGTAGAGTCTGTCCAGAAAGGGGGGGGGAGACCTTGTTCTTGTATCTTTCAGCCCTGAAACCCTCTCCCAAGCCTTTGGAAGCACAACACACAGACCCAGATGCTGCCTCCATCCATTTGAGCCATGGGATTGAGTTTGAATCCAGCCATCCACTAAAAAGCCACCATGCATCTTCCCAAGTCCTACCATTTCCCCAGATGCCTGTGAGAGCTGCAGAAGGAAGGTGGTGCCATGTGAAGCCTCAGAAGAGAAAATTAAGACTATGGGGGGAGGGTGGAAACTCATTGTAAACTTTTCTTTCTTGCCCCATTTGTATTGTAACAAGCCAGTTGAATGTATTAATGGAGAGATGGGAATATGTGGCAGAACAAATACTGAACATCTTGGACTTCTATCTGGTGGGAGGGAAAACTTTTCCAGAATGCTTGTATTGCCTGTTTTGTAGAAATAGCTGCATATGCACACACACACACCATTCACACCATTCAGAGTCTATCCCCTCCACCTACCTTTAGTAAAGTTCCCCCCAGGCTGATTTTTGCTCTATTGCACCAAAGCTTTGTGGGACCAACTTCCAACAGATTCCAAGGGGGAGGGAACTAGGCCCCCTCAGGTGATTTGCAATTCATATGCCCTGACTAAGGAAGCAACAGGGAATATCCCAAACTTCAGCCCTGAATATTTTGCACTGTTGAGCTCAGATTTGAATTCCTAGAACTCATTACGTGCAATTTAAAGAAAATTTAATAGACTGGCATATTAGACATTACAAACCTGGATGCACTGAATTAAGAGCTAAGGCAGGAAACAACCCTTGAAATTGGGCAGCCAGTTGTCATGTACTAAGGAAAACCATGGCTGTGAAGAATTTTGGGAGGTATGCAAACCTGACTGGAAGCTAAAGGTGACATCCAACATTTGAAAATGATTGGCACAGAATATTGGATACTATAAATTTCTTTTCCACCTAACAAAATTGGGAGCCACTAAAGGGATCTTTTTCTGCTGCCTCCATTAATGTCTTCTTTTTCTTTTTTTGCTTAACAGTTTAAAAGCTTGCCTACCAAGTCTCCCTGACCAGATCAATTTTAATGTCATACATTTACACACTTAAGGCACAAAGTGGGGATATTGATGGAAGTTAGCCCCCCCCCCGAAGGAAATATTAAAAAGGGCAGAAAAATATATTTTTCCTCAAAAGGACTTTTTAAAAACCAAACCTGGCCCCAAATCTATCTGCCCCAAACAAGAGCTAGGCCCATACAGATGCAAATGTAACACCATCAGAAAGTTGGAGCCAGAGCAATCAAGAAAACAAAAGAGAAGATCTGCATACCCCACCCAAACTGTAGGAGTCAGCCCCATCACCTGGGAAGCAGGATATGATAATGCAATTTCCTGAAGAACCATCTTTCTGCAATAAACTGTAATCTTCAGGAACTGTCACCCACCAACAGGTCAATTTAGTAACTACACCTATCACTGCAGTTCAGCAACCCTTGCTAACTAAACCAGCCTTCACTTTGCCAAGCGACACTGAGGATGACTTCCTATAAAGCGCAACCTCCTTATTTTTTAAATAAAACAGAAAAGTAGGAGATGTTGGAGTCATTGGGTTATCTGGCCTGTTAGGCTGAGTCACCAGCTGCAGTAGGCCAAGGTATGCGGAAGTCAGAAGAGAAAATAGATTGGCGTAAACAAGTTTGTGCCGTGCGGTGCAAGGGAATGTTGTTTTGGTGTTTGTTAGTGCCGTGTGCAACAGCTGTATAGTAGCGTGTGCAAAACAAAGTTAGCACGTGTAATATGCTAATATGCTGTGTCATAACAAATGTGGTTGGTGTAAGGTGGTCACCAGGTGCCTATAAACCCGCCTTCTGATAACACAATAAAAGGGATGCTTCGTCTTTGTTCGAGGCTCCCATCCCGAGGAAACCACGTGTACGTGTCTGTTCTTCAACACCCATGGGAGACCGCTGGGCGCGTGAAAACCCGCACTGAAATACATTTATGGTTGGAGAAGACGACTAAAAAACAAATAGACTTCAAGCCAGAATTGTTTTTGTTAGGAATAATAGGAGCCAAGTATGAGAAAGATTGTAGATATCTAATACTACATATGTATTAACAGCAGCAAGAATTGTATTTGTCCAATATTGGAAAAATGAAAACTTACCAACTGAAAAAGTACTAATTAAGAAAATTTTAGAATGCGTAGAAATGGATACATTGACTTTAGGGATTACAGAGAAAGAAGACTCAGTTTACTTTAGAACGTGGATAACTTTTACCAATGGCTAGAAAAACGAGTCAGAGAGAAAGGAATGTGACATATAACTTTGAATATACATTAGTAAGAAGGCTACTGAGTGATTAATTAATACTGTTATGATAATAAATTATATCTATTGTTCTTAATTAACTATATGTACCCATGCTGTTTGCTAAATATTGAAAATGTAACCTGGGAAAACCCCAACTCCAACCCCAACCCTAACCCTAACCCCAACCCTAACCCAAACCTCCATTCTAATCCTGACCCCATTTTGTTCCTAACCCTATTAAAACTAATACCATATGTTAAAAAAAAAAAAATCTGTTCCCAAGAGGATCTGGTTGGAGATGAATAAGGAAGAGGCAAAGAGCAGAGCTGCTGCTTCCCTAGGTCTTCTCTCCCAAGACTCCAGATGGAACTGGGCAGAATCACCACCAAGAACCAGGAGACAAGAAGGAGGGAGGGAGGCAGAGAGACAGAGACAGAGACCGAGACAGACAGACAGAGACAAAGACAGAGAGACACAAAGAGACACAGTGAGACACAGTGATGGAGATGGAGACGGAGACAGAGACAGAAAGAGCATGGGTGAGTTAAAGTCTCCAAGCCAAGTTGTCCAGGGGTCTTAAAGGAGCTCCTGGGGCCATCTCAGACCCATCATATTTTAGTGCTTAGTAGGAGCATCAAGGATTTGGGGTGAGCCCAAGTCAATCTGGTATTATTTGACACACTGTCTGATTTAGGTGTTTATGGGAATGCGGTGGACATAATGTACTTTGACTTCAGCAAAACATTTGACAAATAAGGCATCTCTGGCGTTTGCACGACAAGGTGCGCAACCCAGCGCACACAGCCTACCGGAAGGCTTTGCACGGTCTGCTGGATGTAGAGCACCCAGAGGGAGGGGTGCCCTCGAACCTGGATTCCCCGGCGGGGGGAGGAAACATTTTTGAGGGGAAGCCTTGCTCTCTTCACATTCACTAGGTGCCGTAGAAGGTGTCCTTGGCAATGCTACAATGATTAAACAGGAGAGAGGGAAATGTCAAAATTCATGGTGGCATGATTGGGTCCCCTCCCCAGGATGAGCATCCCACCCCCCACCCCCTTCCCTTTTTCCACCCACTCACTTGAGAAGAAAAGGGGGGCAAAGGAAATGGATGCTGCTGGTTCTGGGGGGGGGGGGGGCAGGGCCAGATAGGTCCCCAGACATGCATTGCAACCCAGACTGTGTCGCCACTCAAACCGCACTTGTCAGTGAGAACGACCTGGGGAACCTCCTCAAAAGCTTTGCTGTGTTTCTTTGTGGGGGGAGTGGCAGAAACGGAGTCTCCAGCCGCTCCCTCAGGAGCTGCTCAGCCCTGGGTGCGGAAATATCCCCGAGAGAGGCAAACCATTGGGGCGTTCTGGTCGCCCTTTCAAGAGCCACTTTGGGGTGGGGGGAGAGAGAGAGAGAAAGAGAGGTGCCCAGGGCCCTTCCAGTTAGGGGGCACAGCAGTTCAACCCCTGCATTTCCTTACCGGGTCGCCCCCCAATCCTCTGCTGCGGATCCCATCTTCGCACGCAACAGCCAGGTTGTCTTCAGTTGCTCCTTTCCGTTCTCGTCCACCACACACTGTCCCGAAAAGACGGAGGTGGATTCTGGGGGCGGAATCAGCCAGAGACTCACCGGCAGATCAAAGTTGTTATCCCAGTTGTGGGGAGATCTATTTCCCATTAAGACCCCCGTTCATCGATGGTTGGGAAAGTCTTTTATGGGCTCCAAAATCTTTGGGCAGTTCCAGCTGATTGGGGGGGGGGGAATATTCAGTCAAACAATCTGCAAGGGGTAGATTACAGGATGGGGAGATCGACTAGATCCCCTCCTCCCGTTCTATTTGCTTCCACACCAAATAGTGAGTGGCTCTACCAGTGACTTTCCAGCTGACGGTGAAGCCAAAGGTGGGTTGAGTGCCCCTTTGTGCTGGACGCCCTGCAGCGCGGGTGGCCGGATGGCCTTGCCGGAGGCCAGACCGCCCTTTTGTAGACGTCGCTAAACACCCCCGTGTTACTGACCTGTTGACTTCCACAGTGGAGGTCATTCTTTCAGCTGCCGGTCAGGGAGCACTAAAGGAGAGCGGGATGGGGGAGGAAACAGGTCACCGGGCTAACTGTCCAACAGGTAGAGACTCTGCCTCCATATTGCCTGGGGTGAGCCGCGGTGCGGCGCCCGAGAAGAAGTGGGCACGTGAAGGCAGCCGGGTTCAGCGGTCCCATTCCGGCCCGGGAAATATTTCTCCGTTTCTGGCGAAATCCGCCGCTCTGCGGGGCGAAGGGCGGGGCTGCTGCGCTCAGAGAATCCGCTCCCCGCTAAGCCTGGCTCCAAATCCCCGGTTCCGTTGGCCGCGTTACTCCTCGCCCTTCCCGAAGGGAGGCAAATCCCCCCCACCCCCCCGCAGTGGCTGCAGTCCACCTGGGAGAGGAGGCGGAGGGGGGGGTGGCCATTTCTCCGAAAACCCCCAGAGCGAGCGAAGAACAGAATGCAAAGCGCCCCCTGAAGAAAGTTGTCCTGGAAGCGGGAGGTGAGAAAGCGGAGATATTCCCTCCCCATCAGGTGTGTCGGTTGAGGGTCTCAGCCTCCCCTCCTCTTAACGTCGGAATCCGCAGCAGCCTCGCTTTAAACAAGGCTTTTTCCCTTTCGGTTGACCCTCTTCTCTCGCTTGCTGAAAACGTCCCAGGAATCGGCTCCTTCCTATTTCTGACCCTCAACCCCCCAAAGTAGAAAGATCTCCCCATTGTTTTCTTTCTGGCTGAGCAGACACCCAATGATCCTTGAGTGGCCACTTCTCCTAGACCTTGTTCCAGGAGCCACCAAGGACACCAGACTGCTGGCTCCCCCCTCCCCCCATCTAGCCGCTGCCCTCCTGGGGCAGGCTGGCTGGGCAGTGGGAACAGAGGAGGAAGGGGAGGAACCCAGCCCTCTCCCTCCCTCCCTCGGCCTTCTCTTCTTTCCGCTAAACATGCCTGGTTCTGGATCTCCGAGGATTTACCCAAGGCCCCCCCCCGCTCATCTCCTTGGCACTCTGGGTTTGGGTTTCACAATAAGGCTTTTTGTATGCTCAATACAAAAAAAATCCCCTTCGTGGATTACTGCCTTGTCCTGGGGAAGGGACTTGCATAACTCAATGAAGCTATGAGCTATGCTGTGCAGGGCCACCCAAGACGAACAGGTCATAGCAGAGAGTTCTGACAAAATGGGATCCACTGGAGATGGAAATGGCAACCCACTCCAGTATCTTTGCCATGAAAACTCCATGGACAGTACTAAAAGGAAAAAAGATATGACGCTGGAAAATGGCGTCGGAAGGTGTCCAATATGCTACTGGGGAAGAGCAGAGGGCTAGTACTAATAGCATTGGAAAGAGTGAAGTGACTGGGCCAAAACCGAAAGGACCTCAGCTATAGATTCATCTGGTGGTGAAAGGAAAGTCCCATGCGGTAAAGATCTGAACATGGACATCTTAGGAATCAGCGAACTAAAATGGACAGGGATGGGTGAATTTAATTCAGATGACCATCAGGTATACTACTGCGGGCAAGAATCCCTCAGAAGAAATGGAGTAGCTATCATAGTCAACAAAAGAGTAGGAAAAGCAATACTGGGGTACAATCCCCAAAATGACAGAATGATCTCAGTGGGAATCCAAGGCAAACCATTCAAAATCACAGTAGTCCAAGACTATGCCCTAACCGCTGGTGCTGAAGAGGATGAAATTGACCGGTTCTATGAAGCACTACAGCACCTTATAGAATCAACACCAAAAAATGATGTTCCTATCATCATGGGGGATTGGAATGCTAAGGTAGGAAGCCAAAAGATAACCGGAATAACAGGCAAGTTTGGCCTTGGAGTACAAAATGAAGCAGGGCACAGGGTGATAGAATTTTGTCAAGAGAATAGGATGGTCATAGCAAACACTCTTTTCCAACAACCCAAGAGAGGGCTCTACACATGGACATCACCAGGTGGTCAACACAGAAATCAGATTGACTATAAGCTCTGCAGCCAAAGATGGAGAAGCTCTATACAGTCAGTAAAAACAAGACCAGGAGCCGACTGGCTCAGATCATGAGCTTCTCCTTGCAAAATTTAGGCTTAAATTGAAGAAAGTAGGGAAAAACGCTAGGCCATTCAGGTATGAACTAAATCATATTCCTGATGAATATACAGTAGAGGTGACAAATAAATATAAGAAATTAGACCTGATCGACAGAGTGCCTGAAGAACTATGGATGGAGGCTTGCAACATTGTACAAGAGGTAGCAACCAAAAACATCCCAAAGAAAAAGAAATGCAAGAAAGCAAAATGGCTGTCTGAGGAAGCTTTGCAAATAGCTGAGGAAAGAAGGGAAGTGAAAGGCAAAGGAGAAAGAGAAAGACACACCCAATTGAATGCAGAATTCCAGAGAATAGCTAGAAGAGGTAAGAATGCCCTCTTAAATGAACAGTGCAAAGAAATAGAAGAAAACAACAGAATAGGGAGGACCAGAGATCTCTTCAAGAAAATTGGAGATATGAAGGGAACGTTTCATGCAAAGATGGGCATGATAAAGGACCAAAATGGCAGAGACCTAACAGAGGCAGAAGAGATTAAGAAGAGATGGCAAAACTACACAGAAGAACTATACAAGAATGAGCTTAACGTCCCAGATAACCACAATGAGATGGTCACTGACCTCGAACCAGACATCCTAGAATGTGAAGTGAAATGGGCCTTAGAAAATCTGAGCAACAACAAAGCTAGTGGAGGTGACAGTATTCCAGCTGAGCTATTCAAAATCTTAAAAGAAACGGAGTTAGTTAAAGATTGTATGGTAAAATGGGCACAAAATTTTCAAGAGCCAATTCTATTGGATACATGGGAGACAATTTGGGTTAGAAATGTAAAATTTACTCAAGCTCAAAATTTGAGAGAAATTTTTTATAAAATGTTTTATAGGTGGCATTTGGATCCCCAAAAGTTGTCTTGTATGTATCCCAACTTGCAGCCCAAATGTTGCAGATGTGGTAGTTTGGACACAACTTACTTTCATATTTGGTGGACTTGTAGATATATAAAACCTTTTTAGATTAAAATTTGGTGGAACATTCAAAATATTTTTAAAAGAAAGATAAAGTTTACTCCTCAACTATTTTTGTTGGGTATAATTGTAGATTTTGATGTTAAGGAAACTAATTTGATGTTGAATTTAATAACAGCAGCAAGGCTGTTGGTAGGGCAATATTGGAAGAAAGATTGTTTGCCAACTATAGAAGAATGGATGCTTAAAGTATCAAATTTAGCAGAAATGGCTAAGATTTCTGCTTATTTGAAGGATCATTCACAAGAAAGATACATTTTGGTTTAGAGAAGATGGATAGATTATATTCAGAATAAATATGGGACTAAAAAGTTCCATTTATTTTATGACTAAATTTTAGAATATTATTATTGTTGTTATTATTATTATTAATAGTTTAGTATAGTGGAATTTTTATTATATTGTATTGTTTATGAATTAGAATTTTAATTTGTTTATATGATTTTATTTGCAAATTGTTTATTCTGTGTTAAAAGGGAGTTAAAGCACATTATATTTGTTTATCTACATAGCTGGTTAATGTTAGTTAGATTATGATTATTATATTTTTTACCCTGTATTCACTCTGAGGAGGGGGAGGGGGAAAGGGTGGGTGGGTTTGGGGTATATTTTGTAATTTTTGTAAAACTTTTTAATAAAAAAAAATCTTCAAAGAAGATGCAATAAAAGTGCTACACTCAATTTGCCAGCAAATTTGGAAAACTCAACAGTGGCCACAGGATTGGAAAAGGTCAGTTTACATTCCAATTCTAAAGAAAGTCAATGCAAAAGAATGTTCAAAGAGGAAAAATAACAGCTCTCAAAAGAAACCAGCATGGCTGCATAAAGAACTCTCTGATAAATTGAAAGATAAAAAGGACAAGTATAGAAAGTGGAAAGAGGGGCATATAAATAAGTCAGAATATCAGCAAATAGCCGGAACCTGCAAAGATGAAGTGAGGAAAGCTAAGGCTCAAAATTAACTAAGGCTTGCGACCAAAGTCAAAAATAACAAAAAAAGCTTCTTTCAACATGTAAAAAACAAGAAAAAAGTGAAGGAAATGATTGGTCCATTAGTGGGTGAAAGTGGCAAGAAGGTGACAAGCAACATAGAGAAAGCAGAACTATTTAACTTGTTTTTTGCATCTGTCTTTATACAAAGGGGAAAAACAGTCCAACCTATCAAAATAGTGCCATAAAAAACAGAATAGAAACACAAGTTAAGATAGACAAGAAAATGGTAAGTGAGGACCTGTCCAGCCTAGACGGATTCAAATCATCAGGACCAGATGGATTACACCCCAAGGTTCTCAAAGAAGTGGCAGATGTGATCTCAGAACCACTGAACTATATTTTTCAAAGATCTTGGAGCACTGGGGAGCTACCAGAGGACTGGAAAAGAGCTGATGTAGTTCCCATCTTCAAAAAAGGAAAAAAAATGGATCCAGGAAATTACAGAACTATAGCACTATTGCACTCATTTCACGTGCTAGTAAAGTTATGCTTAAAATCCTACAAGCTAGACTCCAGCAGTATGTGGATCGAGAACTTCCAGAAGTACAGGTAGGATTTCAAAGAGGCAGAGGAACTAGAGATCAAATTGCCAACATACCCTGGATCATGGAGAAAGCTAGGGAGTTTCAGAAAAGCATCTACTTCTGCTTCATTGACTATGCTAAAGCCTTTGATTGTGTGCATCACAACAAATTGTGGCAAGTTCTTAAAGAGATGGGAGTGCCAGACCATCTTATTTGTCTCTTGAGAAACCTATATGCGGTCAAGAAGCAGCAGTGAGAACTGGACACGGAATCGCTGGTTGGTTCAAAATTGGGAAAGGAGTCTGGCAAGGCTGTATACTGTGGTTCTGCCTATTTAACTTATATGCAGAGCACATCATGAGAAAGGCAAGACTAGATGAATCAAAAGTTGGAATTAAAATTGCCGGGAGAAATATCAACAACCTAAAATATGCAGATGATACCACTCTAATGGCAGAAAGTGAAGAGGAACTAAAGAGCCTCTTGATGCGGGTGAAGGAGAGCGCAAAAGTTGGCTTGAAACTCAACATTAAGAAAACCAAGATCATGGCATCTGGTCCTCTCAATTCCTGGCAAACAGATGGGGAAGAAATGGAGATAGTGACAGATTTTATCTTCCTGGGCTCCAAGATCGCCGGAGATGGGGACTGCAGCCAAGAAATTAGATAGCTTGCTCCTGGGAAGGAAAGCTATGGCAAATCTAGACAGCATACTAAAAAGGAGACCTCACCCTGCCAACAAAAGTACATATAGTCAAGGCCATGGTTTTCCCAGTTGAAATGTATGGCAAAGTTGGACCATAAGAAAGGCTGAGCGCCAAGAATGGAGGCCTTTGAACTATTGTGCTGGAGAAGACTCCTGCGAGTCCCCTGGACTGCAAGGCAATCAAACTGGTCAGTCCTGGAGATCAACCCTGATTGCTCTTTAGAAGGCCAGATCCTGAAGTTGAAACTCAAATACTTTGGCCACCTAATGAGAAGGAAGGACTCACTGGAGAAGAGCCTAATGCTGGGAAAGATGGAGGGCAATAGAAGAAGGGGACGACAGAGAATGAGGTGGCTGGATGGAGTCACTGAAGCAGTAGGTGTGAGCTTAAATGGACTCTAGAGGACAGGAAGGCCTGAATCGCAATGGGTCAGACAGGACTTCACAACTAACAACAACAATGTTCAATAGATTTTCCAGGTCATTCTCTTGATTTATCCTTGGTATTTTCTTTTTAATTTTTAAAACTTTACCAGGGTTGTTTTGAATAGCACCCAGAGTCACTTGACAGTGAGATGGGCAGTGTATAAATTTAATAAATAAATAAAATATCCAGTAAGACATCCTTTTCCAAATTATTCCCCTGATCTGTCATTGGTAGTTCCACATTCTCTATTTCCTCTGTCGGGCCATTTCTCCTTCAGCTGTGAGTTGTATGTCACAATGAAAGAATAAACAGCTATTCAATTGCCAGCCAGGGATGTGCTTATCAACATTTTGCTCGCCAGGTTGCCAAGTTGCCCACCTCCTCCGGGCATGAAGGAGGGAAGAAGAATCCCTGGCATCAGCAGCCGACCACAATAC